AGTTGAGGCAAGTCAAGAGGGTGATTGAACATACTACTGTTGCTTCACTCTTTCTTTTTTCTTTCTTTTCATTTTTTTTGGCCACCATAGTACACTCGAAAAAAATCTTTATTAAATAATAAAAGCTAAACAAGTAGAATGAGTTACAATGAAACAAAAGAAGAAATTTTCTTTTCTGAGAATATGAAAAATATTCTATTTCAATCATCATAGATCAAAATTAATTTGTTCAATGATTACTCTTTTTCTTTGGGATCGATTGATTTTGTAATTGAACTATGTTCATATTCAAAATAAAGATACTCTATAGGTTTAATCGAGTAGTTCTATTTCTTTTCTTATGTCACTTCAGTCAATGCAAATCAGATTCATTTTCGAATAATGACAGTTGATAATCATTAGCTAACCAATGGCACAAATATTGGTTAGGAATGACTTTTGTTTAATCAATCCGATAGTGTCGAATAGAGAGCAAATAGTGTCGATATTCTGCAGATAAAAATCAAGATTTATCATGCAGACAACTTTCCTTGTATTTATTTCTTGTCATCTACATCTTGAATTGTTGCTTTTTCTATTTATACATTAGCTTTTTACATACGAATAATTATCTAGAGCATGCCGTTCGATATTTACACTCTTTCCATTAATTGCATTCAAATGATTTATTTCATCTTGAACAAAAGAAAAATATGGTCATTTCAATAGGCAATCGATAAGGCACACCATTGTTGTTCCTTCGATACTATTTTCTTGTTTTATAATTGTTGACAAACATTCAACAATATTCAAATGTATAAAATATATGATCTTAGATGGACTACTTTTACAATTCACGAGAATTTAACATTGCTTATTCTAGCAAAAACATTGTTCTATATTATGAGAAATGCATTTTATTGAAAATGAATCATTCATTTCTCATTCAATAAAATGATACTTCAGTTTTTGCTGTTCAATAAACTGTCTAACATAAGAGGGATTCATAATTTCATAACCCACAACTCATCTTCATTAGTAGGACAACCAAGATATTAGTAAGTTTTACAGTCACGCGAAACAACACGCGTTTAATCCTGACACGAGTCTCTTAACTGAATAGATTCTCCAGCTCCATTTGAAAACTTCCTTCCTCTCAAAATTCTAATTAGTGCAACGATTAGATGTAAATGAGATTATACGCATATGCAAATCTTCGTGAATAAGAACTCCACGCCAATATCACACACACATGCATCATCATTTGGCTGTATCACAATGATCTTCTAGAAAAATATTTGTATTGTTGAAAGAAGAAAGAAAGTTTTTTTTTGATGAACACTAACTAATGAATTATGAGAGAAAAAATGTTTATTTTTAGTGAAGTTTTACGATCAACCGATTAAAAGATGTTTCAGTTGTCTTTATTGAAATATGTTACGGCGGACTTTATCTACTTCTGTGACAGAAAAACATGCAACTTTAAGTTTCTTTGCGTACAGAAAATTTGATTTAACTTTTTCTTTCTCGCTATTTCTCTGTTGTAATATAAGCAATAGCAATCAAAACTATAGATTGAGCTCCTTAAAATATTCGAAATTCAATGCGTATCGCTAAAGAGCATCTAGAAATAATTTCAAATGAAAATATTATTTTTTTTTAAATTGTCTTGGATATTATTCTGATCCATCGTTACGTTTTAGTATTTTATTGACTGATAAAAATCAAAATGTATATTCTAAATAATGGCGTAAGTCTGTTGACAGTTCGCGGTAAAGAAATTGTGACGACTTTTTTCCTATAAAGATTATATTTCTGAAAAAGATATTAAGTATTTTACAAACTGCTGAGAAAGTATTGAATTTCTATTTATTGAAAGAGCACGCCGTTCGATTTTTAGATGTCGGTCGATACAAAAGAAATTACCTATTGGCTAAATATATCGATGTTCACTACTACTATTGTCTCATTTTAATGTAAGCGATAGTCTGTACAGTAATGTACTGCTGCACACGTGTTTTGTTCAGGTGAATATTAAAACTAATTATCTTTTCATTCAAAAAGATTACAAAATAAATCTTTTATGACTGACAGATTTATTTGTTGCGCTGTTGTACGTGTATTTCTGTTAATTTAGTACGCTGGTAGTTCAAATGAAATCTCTGGTATACAATAATTAGAATGGAATACCTCGATGTGATCAATGTTTGTGAAATTATGTTTGCACCTGTTTTCTTATAACAATTGAGCTGAACAGCGGCATTTGTGGCGATCAAGTGTTGCTATCTTTTTCTGAGCTCGTTCCATACGAAACAAACATAAACCAATCTTTGTAATGAACCTGAGCAGGCAGAGTTGGAGAAATTCGATAAACAGTAGATGTAGCATGAGTAAGATGAAGTTAGTTGTAATAGATAAAGAGAAATTTCTTTTCTTATCGTGGATAATGTCAACTGCTTTGAAATATAGTGTTTGCCGCAAGAAATATTTGGTCGTATGCAACGGACCAAAATGACCGGGGAAAATTTTATCCTTCAATCCTATTCAAAATTTAGAAATTATCAGATGTTTGAACCTCGATAACAATATATCAATGTATTTATTTCATAACTCTATTTGTTCTCAATTTTGAATGTATAATCGATGATTGACAACTCTCTTGAGCTAAAGTGTATCATCTTTTTTTTGATTTGAAACGCCTTCAATGACTAAACAGATCAAATTTAACATGATTATGACGTTGTGAAATACTACAGATCTGAACTAGAGACAATTCCAGTAATCATGTGAGATTGTCGACGGGATGTAAACGTCATTGTATTCTTCACTCTAGATTGCGTCGACTTAGATACTTGCATAATCGTTGTCACCTACACTAACCTGAAATTCTTGAAAACGGTGGAAAACAACAGGTACATATGCAACAAACCTTCCCGGGTTTCTTATGCAGTGAAATTTTGAAGACCTCCAGAAACTTGAACAAATCTTACTAGGATCTTCAATTGTATAGCCTACAGGGGAAAGTTTTGGACTTTTTAATTTTCAACATTAAAGTTTTATACAGATACGAACACGATCTCAACAGCATTCTCTGAGCATGAGTTAGCTATGATTCAAATTAGTGTTACTATTAGATTTTAGTTTGGTTTGTCATGGGATTATACAAATTTCAGACTTCGCCAATGAGCATAAGTCCTTAATGTGATCGAATTCTCTAAAATTTTGAATTCATATCAACGGAAAAAGTACCGTTACTCTTGAACAAGTTAAAGAAAAATGCACAGAATTCTTGGGGGAAAATTTTCGAGAGTTTTGCAAACTTCGAATCTTAGAAGAGTGTTGTCTTCATAGCACCTTCTTTTGGGAGTGATGAGGATCTAGTTAGTTCCATTGTATCGGTGCAACTCAGCGAGAAATATTTCTCTAGAATCTCAGTTGTTGTGGATTAGCTATGAATAATCAGAGACATCGAGATGTCCTCTCACAATGACCAAAATAAAGTTAGACGATATCTAATTGGAAATAAGAATGAATTTATAAGGCTGGCGCATATGAAGAAGATAATAATCTAACTATAATCATCGACTAATGAAACAGACTGAAGGTGCAAAAAAAAACGTTACTGTTATTTAAGGTGGCAATGGTTACGGTGCGTCAGAAAATCATTGCAAAGAACCTAACACGTTGTCCTTCGATCGATATCGCAATCATCATGATGTTTTCAATGGCATTGTTTTTCTTGTTCTCAAATCATGTGTGGTGATTAGAAATCAAAGTTTTAGACTGTCAGGAAGTAGACTGATGAACCCGATGGGACATGAACAATTGCAAATGCATGATGAAGACTATTAAAAACATATAACATATTATGAGCCTAATATCATTCTCACATCAATAGAGTTTATTTAAAATGCATACATATTGCTCGTGTTACTAATGACGAACAGTGATGTCGTGATCTTTCAGGTATATGTAAGAAAAAGGTCTTTCCGCAAAATGTACTATATTTTTCTTTCAAATAGGACATCATGTATTTTTGTTCACCCTGCTACGCCATGAAATGGTATGAATAATTTATACGCGGAGAGCATACTTGTGCTCATTCTTTCTATATTTCGCTTAATTATTTGTAGGCAATACTCTAGATGTGTATCCAAAATAATTAATATTCATCTCATTTTTGTTCTTAGCTCAAATAATGCAACATATGTCCACCACCTGACGCTTTAGCTTCAACATTATAAGAAAATCGTCAAAAATAGCCTAAGGAAATTCCCATCATTGATTGAAAAATATTGCTATGGCGTTAGAATATTTGATTTTAACTGCTATATATATTTTTGAGCATCCTTTCAGTACAATAATTTTAAATGACTTGCATTTCTATCTAAAACCATACGCTATCTCAAACAACTTCTATCGATTCTTTATCGCGGTGTCTGTTCAAACTATTGATCTCATAACATAGTTTTCTAATTCGTTCTTTTTTTTATCTCTACTTCAAAGTTAAATATATCAATAAGATTTTTCTCAAAAAAAAGTGAATGTCTTCAAACCAAGAATGTGTGAAAAAAGAGACACTGTGAAATGAACAATACGCGTTTAAAGATGACTCAATCGATAAGACGAAATCACGTTTGTGACGCCGATGAAAACTACGTGTGATATACAACAAGAGCAGCTGAATCGCTGCAATCCATTTCTTATAGTTAAATTGTCTGTCGCTTATTATATAACCAATTTGTTCTAAGATTTCAGTTTCGTTTTTGATAGTTCATCGTTGCAATGAAATGAGCCAATCACTACTTCTAAAAATATTGTATTTGTCCAATGGTGACAAATACGTAATTTCAAGGTCAACATAGAGAAAAAGAATCAAAATATCTTCTCTCTATCACTCTCTCTTCGTTTATATTTGATAACAACAATAACATTCAACTCAACATTTTTATTGATCAGTACAAAAAAGATCGAAGAATAGTAGATTCATTTTGAATAGCTTTGCTTTTCATAGTGTAGTGATGCACACAACTGCTTCTCCTATTCAACACTCAACTGGTTATCCATCGTTTTTATCTTATGCACATAATCATAATCATTTTAATGTCTCAATGAATACTAATGCATTGCGCACGAGTCCTAATTCGTCACATCTACTATCATATAATAGTTATAATGGTGGTCTTAATTTAACATCTCATTCAAATAGTATCAAACAATTTCAAAGTGATGATGAAGATGATCGTCAATCCATATCTCCATCTGATGACGATATAGTAAATACGACATTAATACCATTTAAAAAACGTTCTCGTACTGTACCACCTGAAGATAAAGATACTACTTATTATGAGAAACGCTCACGCAATAATGATTCAGCGAAGCGTTCACGTGATGCAAGACGAATTAAAGAACAACTGATTCAAGAACGTGTCCACTTTTTACAACATGAAAATTTTCGTTTATCGATGGAAAATCAATCTATACGATATCAACTTTCGCAACTAAACATGTTGTGCGATAGATCAGCGAAGCCATGACCATAAAACAAAACCACAGACTTTGTTACAATTTTTTCTCCTGTTTTTGTTTTCAAATTGAATATCTAATAAAAAGATTTTCTACTATTATTATCAAGTGTAAATAATGATAATAATAATAACAAGCTCTATCAGATTGATATATTCAGCTATAAAGTTGTTATTTTTCTTTTAGGTGACTCACAACAATCAAAGAACTTCCGATAATAGGCTGAGAATTTTTTTATTTATTATCAAGAGATTAAAAAATGTTCATCAATAAAAATGCTAACAATTGTTTACTTCATTTTATATGCATAATCATAGAATTAGCTTATGTTAATGATGCAAGATAGGAAGTTTGATTCTAAATGATATATAGAACGTGACATTCCCTTTGAATCAGTAGTATGTGAAGTGAATTGAATATTTAAATACCCAATAATAATCATCGCGATATGTGAAGACTTCTTTGCATTTAAAGATAAAACTTATACTACAATCAAAAGTATGAAAATTGAATCATACATTTCTTTTTAGTGAAAAGCAAATGATGCTTTAATATTATCTATATTTGGAGTCATCAAACAATTTTAGTGAAACCCTCTTTATCAGTATGAGGATAGTTGTTTTCATAGTACGTGTGTAGTACGTTTGTTTTGCGAAGTTTTTTTTTCTTCAAGAATATTTGACTATTTTAGAGCATAGATTGAAAAATCTTCTTTTTCACAACGAAACATATCCTAGAAGTTACTGAGAATAGGTGTGCTATCGCTTTTATGACTGTTGCAGCCATGCACTAGTTGTCAGAATTTAGAAAAGCTCCATACTTTATGAAAATAGTCAATTATGAAAATAGGTGTTCCAAATGAACTCGAGAAAGAGTTCAACATTTACATCGATGCATGCGAAAACTATGAAAGTTCTGATAAATAAATCTAAGATTCTATAGTGACGACCCAAAAACAAATATATGAAGATTCATGTGTGTAGCGAAATATAGTTTTCTGAAGGTAAAAGACTGCACTTAGTAGTGCATCTTTGAATTACATTTAAATATTTTTTGCTACAAAATATGTTGATATCGAAAGAATGTTTTATAAAAGCAAGAAAATCAATTAGCATATATCAACAATCGTGCTGTTTGTTTGTCAACAAAAATAAATATAATTATTTGACAAGAGCGAGACAGGAAATCAAATTTATATACAAATTTAACATAAAAGAATCTATATCTATCTCGTTAGTGATTAAAGAACGATAGAGATACGGAGTGAACAAACTGATAAAAGATTCGTTGTTGAACATTTTCATTCGCACTAAATTTGTGTGCAAACTAAAAGCAATAGATTACCCTTGATATCCTAAATACATTTTATCATAGCAAAGAAACAAACTTTTCTGAATATTGATTGTTATTATCTTTCATGGCTAGTCTTTGCATTAAAATCATACAAATATTTGTACATCTTTAGCTATTAGTTAACTTTTCTAGACAGAAGCTGTCTCTATGTCAACAGAAATAGCAAATATGAACGAAATTTAATTTCTTTTTTCCAGTTGTTGCAACTATCACCAATAAATAGAAAGCACAAGAGAGCGAGAGAATGAATACAGATGATAGTTACGAGAATGGCTCCCATAGGTTAAGAGTAAGTTATATGACTGAATACTATGAACCTGATGTTCACTTCACATCAACGAAAGAAGTGATAAACAAAACGTTATAGAATATCAAACATTGAATTGTAAACTTTGAGCTCGATAACGTCTCATAACTGTTCACATACACCCTCGAACTTTGAGACCGTGGGTGTTGCTCAGGTGCAAACTAATACTTACTTAGCCGACCCAGATATACAAAAACGTTGTGCTCATGTGTTGATGATGAAAAGTGACGAAATCAACTCGTGAAAAAGGTCTCTTTATTTACTAGTGATGCGTTTAAACGGGCTTATCAAAGATATTGATTATGTGTACATGTTTTAGCGAACGTAATTGATAGATAAACCAATTGAATTTCTTAAGTAAATTAAGATTAAAATCGATTAACCTCATATAAATCGACTGTTGGAAATTTAACTGTTTTGAATCATAATTTAGATGGAAGAAATCGGCAAAAATCGCAGGGAAATAGTAACATTAATATTGATTTGTAATCAAAGAAAAAACTAATGAGGCCGGATTCGTTTTGCATGGATTTACATAAAGGCTAGTATTCAATATTTATATAGCATTTTTCAAAACATTAATACTATAATTGTCTTTACAGCAGCAGAAAGAAATTAACTATCGATTTTTCAAGTATTTGGGTTCATTTTTCTTGTATGCAAAAAAACGATGGACATCATCAACAGGATCTTTCAACGTTGCCTACACTGATATAGATCTTAAACCAACACAAAACGAAAATCAATTTCGATGAGAAGTAGACATAAGAAAATTAAAATCGTTAAAACTTTTGCTAAACTACCTGAAATAAAACGACTCCACAAAGGCATAAGACTAATTCCAAAAGATGTTGTTTTTCATATGTAAATAAATATTTTATTTAATCATATCAATTCAAATTTTTTGGCAAAAAAAGTCCACTATTTTTTACTTCAATGTTGATGCAGTGAAGCAGAACCTGATTGCTTTTATTCGTGATCCATAAAGGCACAAAATAGTTGAATATAATGGAAAGCACAGCTAACTTTGTGACTTAAATCTCGAATATCCTAAGAATCTAGGCAACTATAGGTAGACAGGCGAGTTTGACTAGCAATGGTCACGAAGCTCGTTGCCTCCGGCGAGAAAAAGAGATTGAAGCAAATTTTATGAACTGAATTCGTCAGAGCTCACTAAAAATCAACTGATTTGGGATGACTTTTGACAGATTTATTAATGGTTTCTTATCGTTTGAAAGAGCTGAAAACTAAGATACCAGATTTAATATCACACACCAGTGAGTTGCAAAATTTTTAAAAAACTAACTTAAATGATGAATAAGCGTAAGGGATATTTCTAGCTTTTCAGTTTAATCCATGAAAAGAACCTTTGCCATCGAAATCCTACTTTGATTTTGATCAAAAACTACACAGTTGTGATGGGCTCAATAAAAACGTTTGTTTTTGTGAATGAAAGAAAAAAAAGTTAAATTGCTATCCTGTCATCACAAGACAGTCTTCGTCTTCATTTTTGTTAACGCTGAATGAACGAAACTCATTTCATATTTCTATATGTTGTGTCATCGGCGTTTTCCCTGCTCAGAAAAGATTTAGTAGCACTGTGAGACTTTTTAAAATCATCTAAATGCTTAGTTTTGTTTTATAAAAATCAATCGAAATTAGCAACTGTTTACAATTATCTGAACGCAACAAAAACTTGACGTTAGATATTTTTTCCTGATTTTGACTGCTTCCAGATATTTTTACGTTTATTTACACTATTTTCGATAATTTTATTTCAATAGTGGAATTTCGCTGGCTATCACCACCACATAATAATATGGGATACATATGGCTACTGAAGCTATGATATATATCTTGGTTTACGCTCACTAATGTAATCAATAGAAAATTTTTCATCCATGCTTTATGAAGTTTCACGTTGGGAAAATTTTCGGATGCTTACTAACTAAATTACAGAAGGTTCATTGATAAAAGCTACACAGGGCATTCATCGATTAGCGAATGCTCTGTTTGCGAAAGTTATATTGACGAAGTTCCAACCACTCAACACACTGCTTCATCCACGAATTTGTCGTTGTCAACAACTCATGGTTCGAATATGTCCCGTCATTTTATATCCTTATCCGTAGAAGTAATGATTATCATATTGGTTCTTTTAATTTCAATGCAAAGTAAGAGAATAGAAGGACAAGATGTTCGAGTTCGTTGAAGAAAATGGCTTGTCTCTGGCCATTAATGTTTTTAAGTAAGATCATCGGTCGAAGTTATTGGTACTGTTTTCATTTAGTCAACTCACAAGAATGTAAGCCAGACGATATTTTGTCTTGCTAAATTCTGGACAATCAGTTGTAGGTGTGCAGAATTGTGGTTTTCATCGGTGCAAAGCACAGTTTTAGATTTTTCTTTTACAAATTTCTCTGACAAACTTAGTTAAATTCATCAAATCAATCCCTTTTTGTGCGTCGAAAACTGTCGTCCGTTCCAAAAATTCCGTTTCTCAGTTGATCGACACAGTTCTAGTGCTTATTAGAGTTCTAAAGGCTGCCATTGAGAGAAATGTTAAGTTCAATTGTGCTACAAAAAGTTATCATCTTTATTAAATTGTTCATAGATACAATGCTAAAGTATAAATGGTTCTCTTCGTCTTCTGAACACCGTTCGAGAGTTTCGACTGTGATTGTTGTCATGAGAGCGGAAATTCTGTATTTCCTGAAGTATTTTCTTCTGTCAAAACGATCTCACAAACAAGAAAAATCTGTGTTATATCTGAATGAAGAAATTATTCTTTTCACATATGAAATTTGCTACTACTAAGAAGAAATCTTCTTCGTTCTGTTTTGATTTCGAGCCCTTGAAAACTATCATATTAGACATCCATGTTAGACTGCTCGAAGACTTTCTGATCGATCGATAATTATTGATCTTTCAAGTGGTTAGATTAAGGATTTTGTTAAATTCCTTCAAAAAGACATTTTCAAATGTTCATTATGCTACCCTAGAAGAGTTGATCTTTCTTTCACACCTTTTTTTTGTAATTTCATAACTATCTAAAAATCATTTGGCATACAATGATGGCAAGCCACAAGTAAAACCGGAATCTACGGCGATGTTAACGAAAACACCATCATAACGAATATTGTTTTATGAGTTCTTGAGAAAATTTAGATATATTGACTTTATGCTTTATCCCGAAAAATGAATTATTTATCAATTAAATTCCCTATAAAGTATCTGAAACTCGATGAAAGCTCGATTCCTTAATTAAGCACATGAAAGATGTTTTCATTCGATTTAGATTTCTTTAAATGGTTTTTAAAAATTGCCAGCAAATACTAAATTTCAAACTAGTACACAACTAAAAATTAAATAGATAGCACTCATGTTCTAATCTCCGCCCTTCTCATTTATTCGATAGCTAAGGTCAACCGTGACCTGTCGAAGTTTGCCAGAATCCAAAGAAATCCGGTCCTCATGCATTTGATTCATCGACATATTCTCTGTCGTAAAAAAGATTCATGAGTTAATGTTGTTTTTGCAAAAATTAAAACAAAAAGATAAATGTGTAAATCATATTCACGGTTACTGCATCTCTTATAAACCAATGTAGCATGAAAAAGTTAGCAAATAAATGAGTAAGCAATAAACAACGATAATAGATATAAAACTTTTATAATAAAATCTGTAAATGAAGGATATGACAACACGTCTTCTTGTTAATATAATTCGGAGAAAAAAACAATTACATTAATCATTCGAAATAAATCACAATTACAAACATATACGAAAAGAAATAAATGACACAGAATCGCAAAAGAAAACTGAATATTTATTTGAAAACAAAAATGAGCAGATATTTAAGTATGTATGGCAGGTGTCTGTTGAGATGGTGATGATGATTTATTATTTTTACCATTGTAGCAATGAACTTCATTTATGGTTGGTGCTTGGCGAACTTTTGCCGAAATTAATTTAGCCGGTTTTGGTGGTGGTGGTGGTGGTGGAGCAGCTTTTTTACTTGATTTTGATAGGACTGGTGAAATTGATGCATGATCACCATTTTGTGAAACTGTTATTGAGGGTTCAGTGGCAACTAATAGAAGAGCAAAGCATCGATGAGAAAAAAAGTTCTGAGAATACTTAGATTGATGATAGTTTTAATAACTTTTCAGTCTGCCTAAGGTATTTAAGGGAAAAAATAAATTAACTCTTTAATGTTATTAAAAAGTAGATATCGAAATTTTGATTATATTCTCATCATCTTAAAAAAAACCAAGCTAATTCTACAGATCTATTACTTTGACAAAGAAATACTTATTGAACTTTCAATTCTGAAGAACTGTCAGATAGAAAATAAATCTTTTCGGGATAATGAACATTCTGATGAATGTGATACATTCACAAACTAGACATTCAAAAGAAGAAGAAGAATCATGCTTTTCAATTGTGTATTCTACCTAACGATAGATTCAAGAATATTCTGTCGGTATTCTATCGGAATAGGATGTGTTACTTGAAAGAATGCCTTGATTGAAAAGAATTACCTTTTAATGGAGTTGATTGAAATGAAGGTGGATCATGTTCAACCGGTTTCAAAACTTCATCACTAGAAATGATATATAAAGCTTAGATCGAAGAAAACGAAGAGCAATATTATTTACTTTGACGGTTGATTATTTGTAATATTCATTGAATTTATATCAATAGCTGAATCCGAATTTGTACTAAGACCACTGTTGTTTTCATTTGGATTCGATTTTATTATTGTTATTGATTCAGGTTCTTCATATTCATTTTTATTCTATATTAAAAATAGAGTGAAAAGACTAAAATTCTAATTCTACGAGTATTTACATCAATAGTTTTTGGTGTTGATGAGAAAATGGAATCTTTTGATAATATTTCATGTGTCAATTCTTCTACGTGATCGTGAGATTCATCTCTTTTCGAACTGATTTGTTGGCTCGATTGATCTTCATTTGACCGTAATATTGTTTTACGTTGCAGTTTATCATAGGAAATCATCATGGAACAAGGTGAGCTATTTTTTAATGAAAATGTTACTTCAGTAAATTCAGATGATGATTGTAAATAAAAGGCATGTGCATAGGGTGTAAATTGTAAACTTGATAATGCTGTTATATCAGTTGGTTTTACACAATTAAATAATATTTGACGACGAAATGTTGGTAATGAATAAATACTAATGTGACCCATATTATCCAAACAAGTAAGGCAATATTCAGAATGAGATTCATCTGGATTATCTAAATTAGTTTTTACCATTAATGAATCAAGAAATAAAAAATGATGATCTATTCAAAGCAGCGATTGAATCTGTTGAATCACGCGAATAACCCGACTATAGGATTACCCAGTGAATGAAGAATATTCGAACTCAAAAACTAGACCAATCTACATACAACACAATCATTGATAAGTTTCTAAAGAAAATTCTAGAAACAATGCTCTTAGAAATTCTCGTGTTAGATGTTTCACTGTATTAGTCAGCTATTTGATGAGAAACATCAAGATCTTTCTAGATGATTTTGAAGTGTTCAAAAATAAGACGAATTAATTAAATGGATTTTATAAAAAGATAAATGTGGAAACTTCGGATTTCATCCGAAAGTTATGTGAACTGCAAAAAGTGCATGGGATGTATGAGTCATTCTAGAATGTCTGAACACCAAAATTATCATGAGAAACTAGGCAATTTGATTTCTGGATGCAGTTTTTGTGCATTTTGAGACGTTTTTCAGGCGATGTTTCATCAGAAAGCTACGGTTTAGCTCAAAACTAATATCAGATTCGGAATCAGCGTTAAAAACTGAGTCGATTTATATATGTTGTGAATAATTCTGAGAAAGATTTATTTTTTGAAAAAAATTCCCTGTACTCCTCCTCAGGGATGGCCTGGTCAAAAATGACAATTTTTTCGATAACTCAACCATTTCTTGAGGGATTCTTCTCATCTTCGAACTCGACCGAGATATTCATGAGATTGAACTGTGTGGAAAATTTCATCACGGTCTGACTCTCCTTTCGCAAGTTATCGTGCCTACGGCCGGCCGGACACACTGACCGATTCTAGTGTACTCTTTTTTTTTTGAGTACACAAAAAATATAGGTTTCACGTAATACTTAGAATGATACTTCTGAATACTGAAAACCACCGATTTCTAGGTATTTGCATACTCATCGTATTGATGATGTAACAAAATAACATCAGTCTTTGCTTATTGAATAGTAATATTTATATACCTGTTTTTGATGAAAATTGATTGATATTAATTTTTCGCACACGTGTACCTTCTGTTGCTGTTAATTTAAATTTTCCCGACGGTTTTAAATGCGGTAATGTAAATATCTAACAGAAAAAAAAGTTTTTGTTTTAAAATAACAACCTTAAATAAAAAAATGCTTTGTCGTACTTTAAATTGTTCTTCAGAGCAGATAAGTACTTTATGTGATGTTACATTTTCTGAGTGTGTTGGTGTGGTTTGAATCGGAATTTCTGCAGTTAACAATTTTGAATCTATTGGTGGAATATTTGAGCCTTGTCCTATCGATTGATTCAAACCATCAAGTACAATAATACTTAATACAGGCGCTTTATGTTTTAATCGAATTTCTTTAGCTAAAATAAATCATTCAAAAATTTAATTGATAAAAAAAACTATAGTGATTATGTTTACCTAATGAGCAACTACTTGTTTGATCCGTTGTTATTGTAGTTCTATTTAGTGTTTGAGATTCAAAACCAATGATAGAATAAACATAAACATGGCCACTGTTTGTACCAGCCCAAAGCGAACGAGTTCGATCATGAACTAGATAAATAGAAGAAAACAATAGTTCAATAAAGAGTAGAGCTGATATATTCCTTTTAACTTACGACTATTAAGGTATGTTTTAGCAAAATAAAGACAACGAACCATACTGACGATTGGATCATCGTTTTGTTTAAATTCTCGAAATTCAACTTGTCGTTCAATAGGTACACGTGTTATTTGTTCTAAGTGCATATTTGTTGCTGATAGAGGATGACTTTCATCGACTCGTGGTGTAGTTGGCGTCATTGTTGATTTTTTTGTTGTTCGTCCTTTACGAAAACGTCGAAAAGATTCACGAAGAGATTTTTTCAATGAACGACCACGAATTAATGTTGATTCACCAAATGACGAAGGTACTTTTGAGGCATGTCCTAAACTATTTGGATCAAGTGTACATTTAGCAGTAAGAATCCGGCTTTGTTGATAATTAATTAATGCAAAGCCATGTGCTGTACCGACAGCATAACTAGATCAAAGTAAACATAAATTGTTGGTGTAAAAGTTGTGAGATAAAAAAAAAACATCTAGTATATGATATAGCTGCTGTTACAAATCATATGAAGATATTTTATTTTGCCTATTTTAAGACGCATCCTGACCATCAATTTACTTAATCCTCTATAAATATGCAATGAAACAGTAGCTGATATATGATTTTTCATCGTATAATCACTACGGTCTCTTACGACTTGTGGCACCGCAGTGGGTGTCTAAGCGACTGAATTACCATACATCTTAGTTGTATGCATATTCAAAACTGCTATGGAAATATTGCTATCATCCCAATCTACTTCTACTATGATTTCAGTCATCGGTTAAATAATGAATCAATAAAGTTTGATAAGCTCAAATTTACACGTCCGTATATTTTATATCAGTTGCTTCAATCCTAAACACAATCTATGAGTTTCTTATTTTGAGAGTTATTATATGCCAGTGTTGATCGTTCACAAGAGAACTACTCTACCTACTAAATCAATATCAGATCGAGACTATGCTAATTTAATAAAATTCATTTCTAACTAACGATAGAATAGTCTAGAATAAGTTCATTTTAAACGACGAACCATCTTGCAAACTCAAACTCAGCAATGAAATACATTGTTCTAACTTATAATGAAGTTCCAACTCAATACTCGAAAACTCTTACGCATAAAACAAAGTACTTCCAAGCCTCTTCTGTTTTGTTCTTCGTGGTTGTCTCGATTTCTACTCCTATGATAAGACTACTCGTTTCAGACTTAGTTTTATCAAATGAAGATTATTAATATTGAAATTAAATATACCATTGAATATCCGAGCATAAAGCTAAAGCTGAAACAGCGGCTGGTGGATAAAGTTGAACACATGATGTAGGAAGAAAACCAGATGATACAAATGTTGATTTAGTTTTCATTTCTTCGTGTCCCTTCCAGACAAAACTTTCACAACCATCCAATAGATTGACTGTTGTCATCTACAAGAGCAAATGAAACTTACATAGTTTTAGTTTTCCTAATGGAAACTTAACTTACTGGTAGATTTACATCAGTAGGTTCAGCTGTAAATTGAAAAGTAAGTACTTGACCAGCAGTGCCAGCAGCAATAAGTGTGTCGGTATTCGTACATAATGCCAGTTTTTGTATAGCAAGACGTGGATCATCACAATATGGATCATAAATACCCGTCTAAAGTATATTTATATTATAATTGCAAAGGTTATCGTAGTCCTTCGAAGCTCTAAAATTCTATCGAATCATCTGAAATTTCAATTTGACGAGCAAAATGTTCTACAAAATCCATGTAAATTCTACATAGAAAACTCCAATTCCTTCAACAAATTAATCAATTACAATTCAGACATCGTAGATCATGTAGATTTGCATGAGCTATACGTATCCGCAAAAGAGATTGAACCATTAGGCGATTGCTTTCAACATACTAGAGATTGATCTAAACGTGAACGCTGGATTGTAAAAGATTCCAATCTTTGCATGACTAGGAGTCTACAATGTCGATACAATGAAATCGTTTCTTTGACATCGATTGAATATAGCAAAATATTTGATGTACGCATTTCTGGACAGGGATAAATCAAAAGATCTGAAACTTCCATAATTAATTGTACTCATCGAGAGCTCTCTCAATACAAATTTAGTAAGGAAGATTCAAGAATAGAGTCTGGAAATATTTCCCACTTGCAAGATATCTGCAGTTATTAGTTGTATAGTTCGTACTCATTTTATATTAGTGAAAAATCATTGGGATCTATATAACATGTTTACTTTCAGTTCAAAAACAGCTAACTTTACTCAAATAAAAACCTGTATTCTAAATAGAAAAATTCTATTCGACAGTCAACCAACCTTTCGAAATGGTGGCCATGTTTCTTCATCGATATCATCATTAGGTGCTTGTTCAATTTGAAAATAATCACTTGTCTTTAATTTACAAATCAATGGCATAGAAATATTAGTCACATCCCAAAATTGTACTGATCCATCTTCATGTCTGAGAAAATTAAAAAAATTCAATTTTTCTCTTTCCTTCTTCTTTCTTTGGCATTTGACTCACCCTGTGAGTAATAAATTCTTCTCGTGTGAATCATCATTGATGACTTTTTTAATTTCCCCTCCTGTTATTGGCCATTGCTAAAAATAATGTTAATTCAATTTTTATAAAAGAAATTTAATTAATCAACAAACTTGATCAGAATTTTCTTCAAATTGTACTGAAGCATAGTTAATAAGTTTTTTATAAAATTCTTGATTAACATTACATGCAAATGTTGTACATATAACGGGTGATGCATGAATACTATTCAAATAGGGTAAATGATACGATGGCCAACTATCAGTTAGAAGATCAACCATAACGATTTCTTCATTTAATAAAATGACAAGTGATTGAGGATCATCACGAGCTAAAATTATAAAAGAAAAAGCAACGATCTCTTTTGAATGTTTATTTATTTTTTTCATTCAATTTTCCTACATCCATCGCTTGATAATTTGTCGATAGTAAAAAAATCAATAATTCCTGTTGTAAAATCGAATGTAACATGCCGTGTACGTTCATTATTGTGCTCATTTTCACATAAACAACTAACAGTATGTTTATTAGAGTAACTTGAACGAGGTAAACCACCGGAAAATATTATTAAAGGGTCACCACTAATAGAATCAAAAACAAACATTTTCAAATCGTTTAAAAAATCAAATATTACTTTCGCATAATTTTAACATTAATTTTGGTCATTGATGTGCATGGATATGGACCATAAGGAATTTTTTCTGTTTCAACAATATTTAATTGTTGCTTAGCATCCCATAATGCATAACTCCCATTACTGTGGCAAGTGGCAAAATTTCTACCTTGATTATACCAACAAACCGATTCGACTTCCTATTTAAAGATGAAATCAATTATTTGAAAGTAATAAAAATAAAATAACAAACTTGTTTATAAATATAAGTTCTATCATGACTATTTGATGGTAAATCCCAATGAACAATAAGTGTATTTTTATAACCGATTAAGACGTTATCATCATTGATTGGATGTTGTACAATAGATTGTACAGAACCCGGATGAATAATACGTCCACTACAATTTTCAACAATTCTAAAAAAGACAAAAACATTTTTTTTTTTTTATACACATCATTCTTTTATTTTTATTTTACATTTTTTCAATAGTTTCAGTTGGAATGATTGGCTTTGTATTAAGCGAAAAATTTTCAATATTGAATAAATAGATATTTCCATTTTGAAGGCCAATCAATAGATTTAAATTATTTCTTAATAGACATAAAGTTTGAGTATCTTTTAAAATGCTTTCACTATTCTCATTTGATGTACATATATGATCAATATGTATACTATTCAAATTATTTATTTCGAGTAAATGTAAATAACCATCACTTGTTAATATAAGCACTCTTGCGATACCATTTAGAAATATTATTTTTCGTATTGATGACGGATTATTAAGATTATATGATACTTGAAAATTTGGCTGTCCATAACTAGAAATTTTAAAAAAATCTAGAAAAAGAATAAACTCTCAAAAAAACTTACATTCGAATTTCACCTGCATGTGTTCCGATAGCGATTAATTTCAATTGAGGATCATAGGCAATAGCTGATGGATGTGAAGGAAAGCCACGATCACATATTTTACTGAAGCTAAATAATTCTTTTTGAAGACGTCGGCGTGCTTCATTATCTTCGGGTTGTTTACGACCAAGTTTGAATTTAAACATCGTTTGTTTTTTGACTTTAATGAAAAACAAAAAACAAATATTGATTTATCTAAAAAAAAACGAGACGAAGAAAATAATATGAATCATGTTACAAATTAATTTAATATGATATGAGTTTAACAGATGTGTGCACGTATTGTGTAGTATGAAAATAGGTCAACAGCCGCCGTCCCAATTAATGTCAATGGTAAAAAAAGAAGAAAACGAATAAGTGTTCTTCTTTCTCGTGTCTATCGACCAATATACTTGAAACTAGTATTGAGCCGGTCAAACGGTCATTCTCTATTCTTCCTCTTCCGTTCTTTTTTTTTCTCTTTTTTTTCGATGAACTATTCAAGAGACAGAAGGGCATTGTGGATGTTGAGTTGAGTTGAGAAGAGTAAAGTAAAAAAAAAGGAGGAAAAAACGCAAGAAAGAACAAGAAAGAGATTGACGCGTGCCGTCATCTTGTTGTTGTCTTACCTGACTAATCAAAAGTGAGAAAAAAACCATATGTGATTCATATCGGTCTTTTCAAAATGAGAAGGCGTACAAAAGAAAAATGATTATATCTTTTTTGTTTTAGATACGCGATGCATCGATTCATTGATTATTACTAAGATAATGTGTATTTAGTTACTTGATAGATGGATAATGGAAAGCAAACGATATATGTGTATATATCGACAATGAGAACACGTTGTTTTGAATGAACATATATGTATTTTCTTGTTTTTGAGATGAAAGAATGAACAATGTTCTAATCTTTGATAAAAAATGAGTGTCATTGGAAACGAGATAAATAAAAGAAGAGAGAAAATTATGAAACAAGATGCTTGACGCACACGCTTCTATTAGTAAAAGGATCAGGATTAATTAAGATAGAAAAAATTTCATGTAAAAGAAAGACATATATGAATAGAAAAAATATTTTTTTTTTCTTGAATAATAGATTGATATACTATGTTGATATCGTAGTATTTTGTCGGTTAGAAATGATAAGATGATGTTCGAATATAGCTTAGCATGCTTGAAAAAGAGAAAGCAAAGAGATATAAAGAAGCAATTACATCTATTATACAAACATAAAATATGTCTGGTAGGTATGAATGATAACTCATATTTCCAGAACTGCTAAACAAATTATAACTTGTCTTTTCCATAAAGTATCTATTTTTAATCATTCCATTAGTCGAAACATCAGCATAGCGTCATAAGAAGCATTCAAATGATTATCCAACAATTGTTAAGTACTATAATTGATGATTACATCATTCATAATTCAGATTTCAACCATAATTGATTTTACTTGTCGTTAATAACACTTTACTTTGAGAAACTATTATCTACGATAAGAAAATTGGAGATCATAAAAAGTAAGACATAAAATATATTTAGAATGATAATGAATAAAAGGAAAAGAACAATATCAGAATAGCATGTTTGACTGTATTATCATTGTATTGCTTTGATAGGTCATTCTGTGTTATGGCTAGAAAAGAAAAATAATTCTAGTTAGTGAATAGAAAACAATCAAAGAAATAATTTAACCGACAGTAATGGCGCCAAACACCAATCAGGTTGAACTTCTTTAGCTTTAAATTCCACACCATCATTTGTAATAACAACAACACGATACTGAAAAGAAAAACAACATTAATAAAAACAAATCAGATATCAATAAAATTAACTTACACGTGCGAATGCGCGACAATCACGATAATAAAGTTATTTTATAATTCGATCCATCAATTGTTCAGCTTGTTCTTTAGTAATTTTATTAGAAGCTTCAAGTATTGTTCGTATCCAACCCTTAAAAATTAGTCGTAGTGCTTTTCTTTCTGGAAATCATTTGATTACTTGAGCCAAATGATTGTCAATACCAGTTATAATTAAAAATTCTTTATAACCTGAGCCTTTATCATTAACACGTCCAAGAAATCTACACGTAAACAAATCAATAAAGTTTTTTCCCTGAAAAAATTCTTTATTTTCCATTCCTGCTACAATAGCACTTGTTAGCAATGGATTAAGTTTAGTTCTTCGATGATACATTAGTCTTGTAGACCAAGTATATAAAGCTAGTGGTGTCATTTCACCTCCATCTTCTTGAATAGTGTCTTGTTCTCTTTAAAAACAAAATTGGCATCATACAAAATCAAAAGTATACAAAATGATTTCATTTACACTTTGCTATCAACAGCTTCTTTTATATAATCAGCGTCGGATAGATCTCCACCAACTGCAAGAACAGTTTTCTCATTAACTTGATGAATCCGTGAAATATTTCGATATTTAGCTAATGAACCATATGAACCAAGAGTATCAGCAGCTAAAATAACACCGCCATTGAAAGTAAATGCAACAACAGATGAGCCAGTAACAATAGGTGTACTTTTAAAATGAAATCAATATAATTATCCACTAGATAATATTTCTTTAAAACTTACACTGTACGTGTACGAATATTTCGTTCAGCGTCAGCTTCTAATGGAATAATGGTATGAATATTAGATGAATTATTAATATTAAAAGCATCTTTATCATTTATGGTATCCAAACATGGTTGACATGAATTGAATTCACTAAGCATTTTCTTTGAACTTGAATTAATATCTAGAAAACATCAAAGGAATGTGATAGAATCAAAGAGAAAAACATTCATCAGTGAGCAAACATTATTTGTCAATATTAAGAAAATTACAGTAATACGAAAATTAGATGATTGATAGTTATTTAAAACTATTAAATTTATTATACATCGGCTCAATTTAGTTAAAGAAAATTTAAATGTTCTGTTGTGTTAATCATCTTGTTAATGCATTTGATAGACGATTGGTTTAATCATAAATTTTTCAGTAGATGTCATTCATATTCGTTGATTTTGCACAAGTGAGCAAAATCCTATGGTTCTACTTTTTTTATGATACTGTAATTTACTCTAATATGCGGAACATGTTATCGAACTAGTTAATATGAAGATAAGTCAATTTCTCATACTCTCTCTGTAGAGAGTATGAGATAATTGAATGATTACATGCCAATATCCAGTTCATTGATACGGCACGATTATCATCTGCAGTACTTCTTTTCTGTTGGAATTAGGTTGTTATGTGGTATATTTCTAAATTTAATCTAACATCTCAACATAATTTCAGTTTCTAATAGTTTAGCTAGATTTTCCATTTTGACTTGATAATTTAGAACCTCACATGAGCGAATCTTATTTTTCTAAATGTAAGAAACCTAGCACTTACTACCGTTTCTGACTTGAGAAACCGTTCATTATCAATATTTTTAGATTAAATTAAACAGTAGTGCATTCAAACACATGAATAGAATTCTATTCAGCTTCAATCCAATCAGAAAATGAAAGTTTTCTTCTCTAAGCTAAAATAAATGAATCACAAGCGTTGGATTTATTTGAATTGCTTCTCGTGGTTATTTTTCATCTCTCATTGAAACTACTTCGTTATGTAAAATTCTAAAGGGTTTTCAATTTAGAAAAGGGGGTAAGTATTTCAAAAGTGTATCTTTGATATAATATCTAAATACTATCAAGAGTTTGCTAATAGAAAAAAATAAAAATAAAAGACATCCTATCAAGTAATTTCATGATAAATTAGTTTCACTAATAATAATAATAATAATAATATTGATACAAATGTCGAATCATTTATACATATCAAATGGTTTAATCATGCAATGAAAATTATAGAGCAAGTCTATAATAATGATAAACAATTGAAAAATCAATGGTGAACTAATATGCAAGAAAAATTTTAAAAATATAGTTAATTTAGAGAAAGATCTCATTTATTGTATAAGCAAACAAGTAATGGAAATCATTTCTCAATCATTATGAGCACGTGAATCTTTACGAAAATCATATTGATTTTGATTTATGATATTGAAACACTAAATTATAATGAGTAGAATAAAGCATTTTTTTTTTATAAAATTAACTCGATTTTTTATAGCTCGTTGCTATTGGTGCATAATCCGATGCAACACCAGATTGAAAATTTTGATTAATCATAGTCGGTTGTGAATAGCTAATAGCAAATATAATATAGTTATCTTTCCGAAAATAGAACTTTCCGACATACTTATTAATACCAGGTCGTTTTACGTAATGATGATCGCCTGTACTGACTGTCTTTGCAAATGGATCAATCGGTGTTGGCGAATTATAACCAGCAGTTGTTTCAGAAGATGCAATTGTATTAGTTCCATTATTTTTCAGATCTCCATTGTATGATAATGATAAATCGTCAGTGCCTTGACGGCCTGTGTAATTACTAAAATCTAGAGAGAAAATTTTTCTTTAGAGAAATTCGAATGTGATCAATAGAAATTTACTCTTTGAAATAATTGCAGATGAATTTATACTATCATTAGAAGGGGTTGGAGTATGTGAACGGCGTGATGGTATCGATGAACGATATGATCCAGGCGAATATTCTGGAGGTGCTTTTCTTGTGGCTGCTGATATAGAACTTGATGCTTTACTGTCAGGATATTCAGCTGGAGAATAATATTTATCACGTGCATTATTATTGATTGTTTGTGCTTGAGATCGATTCGAAATACGTGTATTGCGATTATTATTATCATTATTATTATACGGTTCATTATTATTATTATTATTATTAAGTGCATAATAATTATTATTATTATTATCAGATGGTGTACTAGAACCACCGTTATATTGATCGTTTTCACGAGCACGAGTATCACGGTTTACTATTCAATGAAAAGTTTTTCAATAAAAAACCTTTTTTTTTTCAACAGTTCTAACACTTACTTGGTTCTCTAGAATTCACAGGATTTGATGATCTTGCTAATTCTGTTTTATTACCTGTCATAGGTTGACGTGTAAAAACTTGACTTAACGGGTAAGTAGTAGATAGAAGACTGGAAATGTTTCTTTTTTGTAGTGGGTATTGAATTCTACTTCTCATCGGTCGTATTACTCTAGTTGGAATATAATCTGTAACTTCAAATACTCTGATTTGACCTAAGCTTTCATCAAAAACTTGTACATATCGACGTTCAATTCGTTCTTTGAACTCTGTAATAAATTGTTTTCCATTGTGTTCAACTATGCCACGATGGGGTCGATGTAACGATGTACGATTATTATTAAATCGTTGATAATTATTTAGATTCATAGAAGTACGACCAATAACCATAGCATCATGATTCATGATTTGATTGAACATTTCAAAATTTGGTTGAAAATAATATAAAGAATTTCGAATAGTTAATTGGTTTTGCGGTGAAGATTGTTGTTGTTGTGGTTGCTTCTCTTGCTGTTGATAATCGATAGCAGGAGAGAAGTTATTTGATTGAACAGGCTACAAAATTGTTTCGATCAAATTGAAATAAAAAGGTAACGTTGAATTATCACCTGTGTTTCAGTTTGATTTAATTGGAAATTCGACTGTTCATCGGAAGTGTCCGAGATTTTTTTCTTCAATTGAGAAATGCGCACAATATCTGCGATCTATTAATAAGAAATATTCATTTGAATTCAATATGAAATGAAAACATTTACTGAAAGTGTCCTATCAAGAGGATGCAGTTGTAAATTATCATCGACTCCAAATATTGGTGGTATATCGACTGATTGCCTTGGTTGTTTTGAAAGTACGCGATTGTAATCGTTATTCGAACTGTCACATGCACGCACGAGTGTGTTTTTATATTATTGACTTATCTTATATTTATTTTGTCTCTATGTCCTTGACAAATAATCATAATTCTATGACTCACCTAAATATTGTTCCCATTTACCAATTTGTCTTGTTTGCACCAAATCAACAAGCTAAAGAAAACGTCTGAACTAGCATGTGCGTTCTTCCTGAAGTTTCGCTTCATTGCATTTCTTCGTTTACGTATAAAATTTCAGTGATAAGCTTGACTTTTAATAAACATACGAAAAAGAAAATGAATAGTCAAACTATTTACAATAAAAAGAAACGACGAAAAAACGAAACTGACTACAAATCAGTAACTGAGGCACGCATTAATGTTGTTTGATGAGATTTTGGATTATTAAGTTTAGTTGTCTTATGAGAGTCTGATATAATTGAATCTGTATCGGTACTTGAGGATGAAAACGAATAGCAACGCCCATTCAGGCGTCTATCTACTGATAACAGCGGTATAATACCACAAAAACGTGAATTTCCGCTTGTCGAAGATGATGAACTTGATGATGTACTTGACACAATAGATGATGACGGTGTACTTTGAATACGTGCTGGAGGATTTGGTTTAGATTTTTTATTGATGAATGAAGATTTTTCATTTGTAATTAATTGTTGAGAAAATGTCACTTTTGATGTCGGTTTTATTGATGATTGCAAACGAGTTTTAGAATCATTTAGTTTTGAGGAATTCATGGATGCTTGACGGAGAACATACGAAGATGAAGTAGATGAACAATTGTTAGAATCGGTTGAACAAATACTTGTTCGAGTACTTAAAGAATTCGTTAAGCTTCGATTATCGTAATGTCCATTCGTCTACATGAAATTCTTATAATGAAAAAAGAGACCTATCCAAATATGAAATTAAGATTTACTTGATCAGAATTTGATTTCGTTTGCTTGAGAATTTCTAATTGATAGTCATAATGTAATCGGCGTTCACGTAATTTTTCTGCTTTCTAAAAACAATAATAGATCAAGAAAGATTTGTACTTCGAAAAAGAAGCAAAAGATTTAGCTACTAACTTCAATAGATTTAACTCTTTCTTCACAATTTAATGTAACCGATTGAATTTCTTCTAGTAAACGTTTTCGATCAGCTGAATTTTCATTTATATTTAGGGAGATTTTTCTTGCTGGTTTATGTTCTTGATTGATTGCCAATCTAAAGCGGACATTTTACTTTCGATTGTTTTCAGACAATAATCAAAGAATTTACTGTTTGAGTTGATAGAGCATTGTTGTTAAACGTTTACATTTTTTTATTGTAAAATCAAGACGTTCTGGTTCTTCATTCAGAAATCTAACAAAAACAAACAGTTATTTACATAAAAAACAAACCAGGAAATGACATATTGCTTTTCAAATAGGTGATATTTCATTAGATAACCTGTATAACGATTATAAAAAGCATAGAAAAGATCACTATCCATACATATCTCTTATTCATTCGTGACTAAGGTATTGAATTTTTTCAGAAAAAAACAATAATCTTTCACTAGAACTCTTCGTTAAACCCTGTAACTCACTGAAGTTGACGCTACATCAGTAAAGTAGTCAAGTGCATTTAATGAACACGAATACACTAGTTGATCAATTTATAAATGACCTTAAAGAATCCAAAAATCCTTGTCAGAACAGACGTGTTAGGGTCAAAATATGAAATTCACATATGTTCTTTGGTTTCATTATAATAATATAGAATATATGATTATTTCCAAGGATTGTTAATCGCTCGGGAAAATATTCTTTTATAGCTATGGATTTCTATATTGTAAGTAGAATTGTTTGGGTTGTTTTTTTGCTACTAGGTCGTTATTCTGCAGTTTTAGACTACAATATTTTAAATTTCATCGTATAATAACTACAGAAAATCAATACATTACTACTTGTGATGTTTTGTATATTTTTAATATCGATTTTTATCTGAAGAGTCTACAATATGTCGAACAATAAAAAATATATTGAAGTAATTTAAAGTTCAAGGCCTTCAGATATTTCAGGTAAGTTCAAGCATTTTTTTAATGCTATTCAGTGTCCTTGTTCATGACGAAGGACATCTCAGAAATGAGCCTAAGGCTTGATGTCCTTCGTAGTTAAAGAGACATATCCAATGATCGTTGATCTATTATTATTTTTTACAGAGAAAATGAGAGAAAATACAGAATATTTACCTTATTTTTATTAGAAAAACATCATATGGGTTCGATAAACAAAAGCAGAGAGACACTCTGACCAGCAATCAGTACGAAAAGAAGTATAGATGTTACTTCAGAAAAACAAATGTTTGTAATAGATGTAAAATATTCTTTTGATAGAACTCAATCATTCACAATCAATTTTTAAGTTCAAATTTTGCATAAATAAAATTCTCAAGTGAACCAATTCGTCACGATATGTCACAATTGATTATTTCTTCTCAGCGCATATGTGCATTGAAGTATTGAGTAAATATTTTGTTTATTTAAAATTTGAACTGGAAAGTGAATTTTGACGATTAACAATGTGCTTTCTTTAAGAAAAACCGTACTAATACAATAATCATAGCATAACACAGAAAATGAATAGACGAGAGACTTTTTCTAGTTTTTCTAATCTGAATTGAATCTATACAACGATGTATGACTCATTTTAAAAGTGATTTGTCAACTTGCAATCTTACTTTGCAATAAAAAAAAGTTTTTTTTTTCTTACTTGATTATTGATGGTTCATCCAATGTAGAAAGTTTTTCACGTAATATTGGAAAAGAAGCTTTTGACAAAAAAAAACAAGGATTATATTTAAAATTTCATTCAGATGAATATTATTTTTACTTTTTAAATCAACTAATGAACGACTTATTGTACTAAGTACTAATGCAAAACTTTCAACATCATTTATTGTTACATAACATTGTTTGCATTTTACATCATTTTGTAATTCTTCAACTATTAATTCTAAATCTCTATTAGCGATAAAATCATAATAAGTTTCTTTTTTTATAAGAAAATAAATCATGTCCATATTTCATCATACTCGAGATCTTGATCAATTTTGCTTCGATTATTCACATATGAATCAAATTCGTGTTCAATATGACGCGTTTTTTCATTTTGATTTAGTCGTTTGAATTGTTCCTTTAGAAAGAAAAATCAAGACGCATATTTCTCTTTGCCTATAAGGATCAAGTCAATAATTTACTTGAATTTTTTTATTTGCTCGTTCTAGTTCGTTCTTAAAATTTTCTTGTAATGATTGTTGCATACGTCGAATTGAGAGTAGATCGTTACGTAGTGTATGAGTTTTTACTTTTAATTCGTATAATTGTTGATGTAAAGAATTGTCATACATATCTAACAAGGTTCTTGATTTTATTGGATTCGTTAACTCTTTGACGAGATCAGTTAACGATTCAAGTTGTTTTTCCATTAGTGCCATTTTATTACTAAAATTTAAAAGAGAATCTCAATTGAATCCAATTTCATAAGAACTAAAAAATGTTTTTCTTCAACGATTTGTCTCTAAATTAGTAGTGAGAGAATCAGTTTGTTTTCTCTGTAATGAACATGTTTCGTTTGCACTTTTAATAAGTAATCTTAATCTAAATGAAAAAGTGCAGTCTCATATTGAGTTCCCTTCTACCTATAGCATATCCTATGGAACTTGTTGTATTTCAAAAATCGTAGTTCAAATTGATTTATTTCTATTAAGATTTAGAAAGTCATGAAATATTATTTCGAAGGAAAATTATTCCTCTGTATAGAAATTTTCAGAGCATAGTAACTGCAATGCAATCTTTTTGTTCGGCACAATGTTTGATCGAATGTTTTTCATTCTCATATTTTCTTTGTATGATCCGAAATATTGAAAGTTAAATCCCATGAAAATGAATCGAAATAAAACGCTTAATAATTGGAAACTTCTCAGATTTTTCCATTCGATATCTGAATAATAGTGATAAATTGAAAGAGAAAATATTATTTGGAGATTCCTCTCTTTACTTTAGGTTTTCGTGATCTTATTTCATCCTTATGAAGCTAAACTCAAAGCAGTGGTTCTATTAGTCAATTCAAATAAAACTTCATATGATCAAAAAGAAAAGCCATTCTTTATTACCGAGCATCATCTTCATCGGTTCGTGGTGTTGTTGGAGCACTTCTTGTTGATGATAATATACTTTTTAATGCTGAAATATAAAAGATATCACTTACGACATCCAAAGAATTATTTTTACTTACTACTAGTTGATAGAGGAGTTTGACCTATGGATGAAATTCCGTTTTTCAATTCGTTCAGAGAACATGGTGGATTATCATTCGATGTATTTTCTATAGATCCATTTGTAAATGGCGTCAAACCAAAACGATTTAAACGTTGATAACTCATATCATTTTTCACTATTGAACCTGATAGCTCATCATTTTCCGGTTCTTTGAATGAAACGTGTAATTTATTATTATTATTATTATTATTATTATTATTATTGTTATTATTATTTAATTGAACAATTTTTAATACAGAACGATCTTTAACATCACTATATATTGAACAAATAAGATAATTCATGGCTTTCTAATGATTTTTTTCTATTACCTCATATCTTCTAATTGATAAAAAATATCTTTCTCTGATTCACGTATATAAATTCGAATATTATCCTTATCCATTTGTTTCATTGTCAAATGTTGTGGAAATGCACTTAAAATTAAAATAATAAGACAAAGTTTTCTTAAAAAAAAAACATTTTTACCGAACAAATAGAGCTTTGAGTGTATCCAAACATGAAATATATGCTGGTAAGAGAACTTTTTTTGTTTCATTACCGCAAATTAAAAAGCTCAGGCCTACAAATACAAACACAAATGTAGCAGTTTTTCTATTTTATTGTCAAATTTAAAAGAAAATGAATTACCAATTGAATTCGATTTTGATTTATTTACGGCAGGTTTGATTATAAATGGAAGACTGGAACGAACACGATGATTCCGATTGAATCCTAATTATAAAAATATTTATATAGAAAGCAAAAGATTTATTTCTACCATTGATATATCCTGCTGATAAGTCATCATCTGTTGGATCAGTCGATGATGAACGTTGATGCAAAGAATTATTTCTCGGCTAGTTAGAGATAATAAATAAATATTTTATCAAGAATAATCAGTAATTTTTCTATTACCAGCATTGGTGTTGTAGCTATTGATGAGCAATACTTTTTTTTGAGCATATCGGCAAGTATACGTTGTTGCTCTTTATCATTCTACAAAAAAAAGAGAGAGAGAGAGAGAGAGAGAGAGAGAAAGAAAGAAAAATCTCCTTGTCATAATTCAATCATTCGTAAAACTCAATTAATTCAGATTCATATCCACTTATTTGCCTCTGGACAATTATAAAATCTTTGAATTACACTTCGGTATGTTCTGTCTATCTGTTCTTACTTATTTATACCACTCTTATGTCTGTTCAAGCATTATCTCGTGAATTGTATATATGGACTATATATATTATGCAATAGGAATGTAATAAACATACTGGAATTAATCATTGGATAAAAATGATTTCTTAATAGTTTTCTTTCTGTCACTTAGTTTTTGCCCATACATTAAAGAGAGAAAAAATGATTTAATTCGGCTGACTGCTATAGATTAAATGTGATGATAGCAAACCTTCAACAAATCGTGTGGAACTAACGGTGGCACTTTGTCGCTTCGGGTTAATAGTTTCAACAGGGTGGTGACCATCAATTGGTTTTGATTGATAGAAATTTCTCAAGGGAACTTTTACTTCTTTCAATTCGTTTACCTTGATAATGCTATCATATGAAAAATATTGAGGAGAATAATTTTGACATTCACTTAAGGTTATTACTATTACTAGTCGATTATAACTTATATATATATATATATACTATTCGTTCTTTTTTCTTTTTCTCTTCTTCTTCGTTCGTTTGTGCCAGTTACTCTAAACAAGTTGTCCAAGTAAATCTCGGTCAAGCACAACAATCATCTCTTCTCAACAAAAAGAAGAGAAAAAAAGAAACCATTATATTATAAAGAAAAATAGAATGGGAAGAGAAAGAATGTATGAATAACATACAAATGTTGGAGATAATTCTCAAATGAATTTTACGACTTCAAGAAAAAATAAACATCGATATCTATGTTCTTCTCTTTTGATGAGCAGTAACAATGGTGTTGCATGTGTATATACAGTTGTCCGACCATGGCCTATACTAATTCTACACAGCAGCAGTCGAGAAAATGAAGAACTGTTGTAAATGAGAAGAAATAACAGAGCATATACAGGAAGCTGAATATAATGACAGTGATCAAACGAGCCAAACCAATACAGGACGTAATACAATGCAGTCAATGGACAATATGAGCTTGCATGATGCAAAACAGTGTCCCCTCGAGTGTCTTTCATCATAATGACCAACCTCTTGAAACAAAGGCAAACAAGAAACGTATTATCCAAGGAATTATAACAGGAGAAATAGAAATGTATTATAAATAGTCATGTAATTAGCCTATTATTTTCTTGAAATTGAATTATTGATGAAAAGAAAAGCTAACTATTGAAACATATAATCATATAGTATACCGATCGTTTTATTTACCTGTAAAGTTTTTTCATTATTATTATTATTATTATTATTACCAGTTTCAAGACATTCATCTTCTTTAACTGATTCTAATAGCATGAAATTTCCATTTGTAATTGCATTTAGAGATTTATTATGATTATTCAAAATTGTTGTTTCAATATCATAAGTTGATTTTGATTTAGTTTCATTTTTCATTGGTGTTAGTAACTCAGATGATGATGATGATGATGATGTTGTCGCGTCAACTGATCGACTCATAATATTTGTTGAATCTTGACGAAAAGAATTCGATGGCGTTGTCGATTGAGATGAAAATGATGAAACTGTTGTATTGCCAATACTACGTATTGAATCTGTACGAATTGGTACAGGTGGTCGTCGTTGTTGACGAAGAGATACATAATGATTTGAATCATTTTTAACTGCTATTGATTTCATTTTTGGTGGCGTTTCAGCATAAATATTATTTCGTTCTAACTCTGAAAAATCAGGTACGATCGTTTTTGCTGCTGCTGTTGTTGTTGTTGTTATTATTGATTTCATGTTTTGGCAAGATTTTGTTGATTGATAATGGTTAATTTCGTTGGGTTTTTTTTTTCGAGATATTGTATTTGTTGAAGAATCAGTAACTAAAATAAGAATACAGATAATAAGAATCTATGTGCTGCTGACAAAAGAAAATAACATATACTGCCATTTACTTCTCAATCAAGGTGATAGACGCCTGTTGTTCAAAGCATCAAATGATCTATTTTCTTTGTTACAATAAAAAAAAATGAAAGTTCAAGTATGCAACTGTTTCAATAGATATCTATATCTATATAAACATGAATAGATTTTCAACTGAAATATTCAAAATTTTTAAAAAAATGAAAGAAAGAGTACAAAACTAAATTTAACACGTTCTACAACTTAATTGTAATCTTCTCATATTGTATATATATATATATAAATCAGTCTTAACTAGAAAAGGTCAATGCTTAATGTATTTCTTCTATACAAACTCATCCTGATCTATTTAAACAACAAGATAAAGTCTTATTCAAGGCAAACGCGAATATTAAAATAATTTTCTTCAACAAAAAAAAGCAAACTCAATGAACTTAATTTTAATCATTTATTCTATTCAATAGAGATCTTAGAACAAGACAGAAACAATCAAGTTTCATACAACCTGCTGTTATACACGAAGTCATTGATAGATGAATAGTAACAAATATAACGAACGAAAGTAGGGATTGACTCGAGAATAAAATGATGAGGTAAAACTTTATTTGCTAACCGCCGGAGTGCAGTCAACGTGTATAAACTACTACCGAAAGGTGATACCTACGCGTGCATTGGATGAACTCTGCAATGATATTACATCATCAAACCAAAAAAAAAGAACAGAATCAATGGACTCGAAAAGTTAATGAGCAAACACTTACTTTCATATGTTTGTTTAACCACCCAATGCCAAACATAATCAGAGATCTTTCTCATCGAATCAAGACCGTTACTATTCATTATTATTCTTTTTTTTCTTTCTAATATTGAATCCATGTTATATGCACAGTTTGTATGTTTAAACTTCTATTCTGCCTTTTTTCCTTTTGTATTTAAACGAAAGAATAATGTCACAATGGCAGTGAGGAAGAAGAAGAAAAAACGAACAAGAGCCACATAGTGATGAAATTTATTCCTCCATTCAATCAAGTAGCATGTGTGAGAACGTCGAATTTGCGAGAACCGGAACCGTAAACATTTATGTTGCATGCTAATTCAAGTTTTGTTGAATCCGATTAGCGATACAATATAAGTAATTAATTATCAGTCATCGGTTTTGAACGATGCGAATTTCATTTATCGTGTCATCAGATAAAAAAATACTTTTATTAGAACTGAATATAACTAACTATTTAAGACATATATTTATTCGAAAGATATTTTCAATCTTTTCTTACAAATAAATATCCAGCAACTGTTTCGAACTAATTATTCAATAGATCAGTCAATCTAATTTTTCGTGAGTTACAGCTACATAAACAACGATTGTTTTACCGCATATTTATATGTTCAATCATCAAATGTTTGATCTAGATATCTCAAGGTAATAAATGTGAAATCGAACACAATTACACAATAAGCAACTTTTCTTTTTATTCTAACATATGACACAGATGACAACTGTGGTTATACCGAGAGAAAAAATGGAATGACACTTAGAATTCACATTATCGAAATGAGCCGTACATTCTTTCTTCTCTTTTTTTTTTGTTGTAAATGTGAAAGACGACGACGATGATGATGATGATGATGGCATATGAAGGAAAGAAAAGTTGTTCTCAAGAATAAGAGTCAATCGAATAGTGTTCAATAGGTTAAACAATAGAGCAAGGTTTCAGTTTTAGAGAAATGAAATAGTCTTCTACCTGTCAATTTATATGTCATTCGTCGATATGTTAACAGATTTTCCAGAGATCTTGTTAAAGAAAATCGATCAGCCAATGTTGAAAGCATAGTTGAGATTCAACAAAGAAACGCATACAATACTTTATGACTGCACTAGACGTTGGTTCTTATCTATTCTTTTTCGATCTCAATTTGCTCTTATATACATACGCATATACGTCCTAACTTCTCAACTCTTTCTCTCTCTCTCTCTTTTCTTTTACTTGCTCATTACCTTTTGTCACACCTGGCTTTTTTCTCTCTGTCGTTTTTTTCCCTTTGATTATAATCAATTAAAATGGTCGATGTCATAATCACTATAAAGCAAACTAGTAGTGATACAATTCGTTCTGCTTTTTTTGACTTAATTGAAAAATTTTAAGTATGTTGAAACATTCTTTTATTCATTATACGTTGACAACATATAATTGAATCTTATCCTGATATACACATTATCTGAATAAAAGTAAAGAACAACCTTACAACAAAAAAAGCATTCTTGTGGTTTTCTTTTCTTTGTGTTTGCTTAAATAAATTTTCATATACCAATGAAGAGTATGTTCAAGTAGAGTAAACCAACAAAAGCATCGATGATCATACTCATTTGTAATAAAACAGCAGCGGACGGTGTACATCTGCTTAAGAAATGACACTTACTCATTAGATTTTAATGGACTCAAAGTATTTGGTATCATGTGAGATTCTTCATTTTCTTAATAAATATTTGAATAAAGAAGAAGAAGAAGAATACGAAAGACAGACGGATGTAGAAATCTCATTAAATCTATAAAAAAAAATAGTTTTCTGTTATGCGAATGCATCTCACTGAACTTCCGCCTGCCAATAAATCAATCAAGCACATGATATAAAAGTAATTGATGTCATAAGTAATTCAAAAACATAAAGCTTTATTTTTGCTTCGTCTTCTTACTAATAAGAAACCATCAAAACAAAAAAGAAGCAACGTCAATTCATCTAATCATAAGGAAATCTATACAAATTTTCTATTGTATTAATTAATATTTAGTATTGTATGTTTAAAAACAAAGAATCTTAATTTCTGCTTTTTTTCTGGTATTCTTTTACCTTGTTTCATCGAATCACGATAATGAGATGAATTTCTTAATATCCAAATATTATCGTCACTTGACATAGTCATGATCATACGATCAGTTTTCATTGTTTAGTATATCATCGATGTATCTAATAAATATATTTGGCAACTGAAGATCTAGATTTGAAATGAGTTCTATTCAGATAATCCACCAATAAGACAGAATAATGTGCACAATAATAGACGATAAATGCAATCGATATGTTCATAGAGATGATTCATGTTAAACAAATGCTCTGTCTGCTTGACTTGTCTAACATCTTAATAGCTTCTGTTTCTTTATCCGATGAGAAAAAAGAGAATGTGACTAGATGAATTACAGCGATCTGGTTCTGTTCTTTTTTTTTTTGTTGTTTTTTTTTTCCTATATGCATCTGTGCCGTTATACCGGTAGATAACTCATTTAATCAAGCATGCAGAAGAAAACATACACAAATTATATTTTTTATGAAGGTCATTTACTATTGCAAAAAAAACAACAGTTGCAAGAAGGCGGAGAGTATAAATAAATTTCGTCGATATAAACACTGGCATCGTTTATGAACATGTATCCGAACTAATTTGAATATACATCTATGATCAATTGAATGATCAACGAGCAAGTAATGATATACAACGAAGAGAATATAAACATCTGCTCAAGTCAATTATATCTAACTAAGACTTAGTTATATTCTTTTGGCTTCTCATACTATCATATCAAAATTATACATATATGTAAATGAAAGTTCTCCTTGAAGTAACAAACATTTCTTGTCAAGCTGATTTTTTTGCACCATTCGAAAAAGATCTAAAGCAGAGAATGGTTTGATTTCAATGAGAACTGTCATTAAAATAAGCGAAAAACTAAAAGTAATGAATGGAAAAAAAAGACAATTAAGCGAGTAAATATCTATGACCTAGTGTTGAAAAATTCCTTGACATATAAAACTAAATATGTGCGTTTGAAATAGCACGTACATAGAATACGATGACAAATACATATATATATTCAATCTTCAAATACGACTAAAGGATAGATTACACTAATGACATATATTAGAGCAGAACTGTTCAAATAGAGAATTATATTTTAAGGTCAAATATTTATTACCGTGATACACAACAGTGTTTTTATCAAGAAAAAGAACTTAATCATATGCGAGTATCATTTATTTAATTAATCTTTCTTATTTTCAAGTTATGATATTTTTGTCAGTACTTATATATCCAATGAGTTGATAATTATGCATAATAAAGTAGATATAAGAATCTAAGCATGCTCAACCTTTACGATATATTTTCTGCGTTCTTTCAAAATCTAATTAGCTTTATTTACTGACATTCTTTTGATTCGATGGATACAAAGAATGTATAGACATTAATATGCAATCGAATGTTTATCTTTTTTCTTGTATTTTATGAATTTTATTATATATAGCTAACAATTCCTTCGTCTATTGTTTACCAATAGAGGTTAATATGTATTTAATAATAGTCATTTGAGATTCATACAAATGTTACATTTTCAGTGTATTAAGTGTTGCATTTACAAACTATAGAGTACGATACACTCACCAATATATGATGTTTGAAGATATCGTTGTATTTTCGAGTCAGATACGCCCATCATTGAACAATATGTTGATCGATTTATGAAATTCTATTAAACGAAGAATAATAACAGGCGCATCGATTGTCTTCTGATGATGCTGTATGAGTGTGTTTGCACTAATCTAAAATACAAAAGTGTGATTAGATGGCCGCCAACTCTCTTTTTTTCATACAATAAATTGTAAACAAAAGCCACCATCAGTAATTAAGTGCGTGATCCTCCGATTACAAGAACAACATATGCATACACATATGTATGAACCAACTGTGTAATAATAAAGCAAGCTATCGTCGAGTAGTTCTTTCTATGATCGACACAAGATGAAAGCGAGATAATAGAAAAAAAAGAAAGCGACTAGTGACTATGTCATCTGAGAAATAAGCATAGAATTTGTTTTGTTTTTTCTATTCGTCTGTACTATATAGGTTCAAATGTAACTCCGCTTCGTAAGATAATGAAGGTTAGAAGCAATCGTGAATGAACAATATGTTAGTTTCTAGAAAAGAAAGCTATAAAATATGTGACAGATGTATATTATTGATCATATCGAGAAACATAAACGCATGAACAGAAGAAGATTCAACATTAACATTGTTATGTTAATGTTTCACTCATGATTTCTATATGAATAGAAAGAAAAGAGTAGATAATATATATATATAGCTACCTTTCTAAACATAGTTGATACTGCGGACTGCAATACCACTTTGAATAAAAAACATGATTCCATAAGAAAAATACTTGAGTAATAAAAAGTCTATGTAACAATGTTCATCATATTTTTATGTGAAAAGAAATTTTAGTGATTCTATATAAGAATCAATAGTATGTTTTTTAAGACTTCTAATAATATTTTCTTATGAAATTATACTTTTCATCTAAATCAATAACTCAATCATAGGATTGTATCAAAAGAGTTCATACTTACTTCATATTCTTCGATTGTGCATACAAACATGCAATCATTCACTGTAATATATCTTAACGTCTAGATTGTGTATTTACAGTTGACCCATAATTGAATTGGTTCTTTTCAGTTGTTTCATCAGGTCTATACCTCATTTCTCTCTCTCTCTTTCTGTGTATATTCTATTCTGTTTATATCATAATGATTGTGCTTAGTAGAACTATTTGATTTTACTTCTTTTAGTAGTACCGCTACCTGTTCTTATTCTACTCTTAACTGTATAATAATATCATGATCATTTGTACAGTTATTGAATCGGGTACGTACTGTTTGATTATATATATATATATATGATTATGTACTCCTATATATATACATGTATATACATAGGAATGAAAGACGAAGACAAACATCATATTGTAATATGATTTTAAACGAGCGTTCACAATTTTGTAAATTTCTACTTTTGTTTTGCTGCACAGAGTTAGGTCCGACTGAACGCATTTGTCATTGCTTACAATTTATTATCTAATTTCAACATATGTGACAATTATTTATTACTTCAGTAGAATCTAATTAAAGCAATCTGTAGACACTTACATTATTAATTTGATTGATATATTAAATAAAAGATAAAAATAATTGTCATTACAATGAATAGAAATAAAAATGATTATAAAATACAAACCTAATCATATTTTCTCATTCACGTTCAATATGTTATCTATGCATTTATCTTGATCTCTGTTAATGCTACATGAATGCAAGTATATCTATGTGTGTGTGTGCATAAGATATTATTCGATTAAGCGTACGACAAGAAGAAAGAAATATCGATCTCAACAGATAGATAGATAGGAAAAAAATTCAGGAAAATTTGGTCAGTAGATTATTGCATGTGCATTATGCATAGCTAATTTTAATAGAAAAGTTGCTGCTATTATTTTTTTGCCATCAAAATCTGTTATGAATTGAAGAGTTATGTAATCTAAATTGTGACTAATCATAATATCTTGGATAGCATCAATCTTTTCTTATACTCTATGTGATGTCAAATATTCCCTCATGGTTTAATATCGATCTTCATGTGTGTCAGCGCAAGTGATCCAGATATATTTATATAGTGCTACTCATTAGAGAGATTATTGCTTGTTTTCCGTTTAATCATTGGTACTGACTCTACAATTCATTTGGATTGTTTGTCGATAGTTTTGATATCCTCTTGTGAATGATCACAGAGTAAAACTAACAAAAATAATATAATCTTTCGTCTGTAACGGTTCCCATTTGAGCAAGTGAACCGGTAATAGTTTCTGTTCTTATTATAATTGTTAATTTATATGCATAACAATGTCTCTAGATAGCTGATTACTACTGCATCAATAAGAATCACAATCTAGATAAATATTTGAAGTTAAATAACGTTTGTCTGTAGATAAAACCTAATTATCATGTTCTCTTTTTATTCAGTGAATAGTAAATACTATTGGGATGGTGTATAGAAAAATGTTGCAAATCATAATCATTCGAAAATGAGATATAAAAATATGATAATATTTACTATATAAAATTTATTTTTAATTCACTTTTTGATAATTGACATATAACATTAGGATGATAACAACAGTCATGTATAGTGGGAGATTTTTTTTTTAATAGAATCTAGTCATCAAATAGAGTTTTTTTTAATAGCACACTGCAAGAAATGGCTTATAACTTTCTCATCGACGTATGATATTCATGCAATCCAAGACACTTCAAATATAAATATTCTCTTTTATTAAATCTATAATTACCTATTTGGAAGTTATAAGCAAAAATAAAACGTATGGTAGTCAAATCCCCCCTCTCTCTCTCTAGATATATATATACGTATGCTGTAATTTTTGTTTTTATAAAAATGCATTTTCCTTTCCTTTTTTTTATCTTTTGTAATCAATGCTTTGGAATACTAATAATTAGAAGACCGCGACGTTGTTGTTTGAACAAGACGTATCCTAGTGACATCTTTACACAGCACATGAATAACAATAAATTTGTTAGAAAATTGAATAATTTAGTCTTTTTGTAATTATTGAAAATCAAAAGCTAATCGCCCCTTATACTTGATATTACTATCTGATTATTTGATTAGTTTAGATTTTATCAACAAATCAAGCAAACTCTAGATCAATAAACTTACTTGCATATTATAATTGTAAGTTTTTGAACGAATGTGAATACGAATACAATTGTCTTTTTACATCGTGTGTTCAATTCAACTTTAGAAGACGAATATAGAATTCGTTTGATTTCATCATTGCACGAGATATTCTACTTGTCTTTTTTTGTACTTGAATAAATTCTTGTCATTTCTATTTTAAGATTATTCATACTAATTGAAATAAAGATTTCCATTCCGTTCACGAAAGATGTTTCTCATGTACTACTTAAGCGAAAAAGGTGAACGAGTTTATACGTTCAAAGTTAGTATTATTGTAGTATGCTTAATTTCATCTAACATTGACATTTATATAGAAAGTCGATCCATCAGGTAATCCTACACAATCGGCTCATCCAGGTAATCTTGCTTATTTTTTATTTGACAAACGATAGCAAAAAAATGATATTCTATTTTTTTAGCTAAATTCTCACCGGATGATCAATATTCACGTCAACGACTCAAACTCAAAACACGTTATCGATTACTTTTAACACAAACACCACTTACGAAGTGTTAAAATTGTTTTCTATTACTGTTTCTTTAACATTTTGATAAAAAATGTGTTACTGTTGTTGTTGTTGTTGTTTTCAAATAAATTGAACTCTGAAAACGTGATTATTATAACAATAAAAAATAATACATTGTTACAAGAATCAACTTAAGAAAAAGTGAAAAATAAAACGAATATTTTTGATGATTGTGAATTGAATAAGAAAATTTGATTTATTATCATAACTGATAACATATTAGCTATAACCTTAAAATAAATTTGAATTTGTAAATGTTAAAATTAGAATATATTGTATATTTAGTAATCACGTTGAACAAACAAGTCTATGTCAGTTTAGATGAGTTTTATTTAATAATTTATTATTATTAGGAGACAATGCCTTAAAGATTGATCTGAAAGGTAAAAGTTAGTCTTGAATGTTGATTTCTTTCGTTACATATATATATATATATTGTTCAAAAGGTTTTTGCTATTGACTAAACGCGGCATCTCTTATTTATAAAATTATTTATCCATTATCATCCAATAAAAAATGTGAGGATGCAAAAAAAGAAAGAAAGGCGAGCAAGTACGAGCTCTTATGACGGCATATATTTTATCATTTTGATAAAGTTTTTTATCTCTTTTAACATAGTTATTATTGAGATTGCTTGTTAGAAATGGTTCCACCTCCATCTGGCGATCAAGATTGGCAATTTGATAGATTTAGGGATGGAGGTTCCAAAGGTAGAATAGCATGAAATAGTACGACTCTGTAATTAAACAAACTTTTGTGCTCTTTCATCTATAGAATTAGTCCTTGATGCCCAATTAAAACGTTATCAACGTTTCCTTAATACACATAAACAAGCCTTAAGACGTATTGAAGATGCACTCGGTTCAAATATTACACAAACATGGGAATTCGATTTAAATCCAGCAGAACTTAAAGTATTAATTTTATTCTATTCTGGTTTTTTTAAATAAGTTAATCTTTATTTAGTATTTACCCTATGAGCAAGTTCAAGTTCTCGATTTAATTCGTACTGAAAATAAAATTTGCAATAAAATTGTTACTGTATTTGCTGCACTATGTTGTGAATGTCAATTTCTAGTACATGAATGTGAACGCAAATATCTACCAGCAATATTATTTTTTGGTGAAGGAGGTAAAATTAATTAAGTTTTGATTTTTTGGAGTTTTGAAATCATTTAACGATTATTATAGAACAAGATGCTAAAGAACAACAACAAACATATTTCGCACATTTTGTGTCTCTACTTCAGGTTTGAGTTTCTATTTTTCTTGAGGATTTCTGTTATGAATATTGTATTTTTTCTTCATTAAGGATTTATCATGTTATGTAAATCGATGTAATGAAGTTGTGGTGAATATTCTTCAACAACTATCAGCACTTTACACTCAACCTGGTATTCAAAATGGACGGTTAGTATTTTTCATCTGTAAGAGAAAAATATTTCAAAATAATTAATTATTTATTTTTAGATCCATTCGACTTATGGATGTATCCGATTTACATTTAGCAGTATGTATTTTTCTGAGGAATCCAATAGCCATTAATTCTATTTCGTCTTGATTTTATTCAAAAGTTGTAAATAGTTAAACTGAAATAATTGTAGAGATTGCATTTGGTTGACTGACAATATTCATCTGATTATTTTCTAGTATGTTCTAAATATTAGCATGAGTTGATAGCAGTAATGAGTCTGCTTCTGTCAATCATCGCATAGTATTATTTCAAAATGCCAATAATTTTGTTTCGTATTCTTCATTTCGTATATTGACAGTTCTTTACTGACGATAGCTGATCTTAAAATTGACAGGTAAAGTTTAAGTAGTAGAATTTTAGAAATGTGTTTCTATTTTTCAGTACTAAACTAGTAAAACTGGTCGATTTGAAATCGTGTTTTGGAATTGAGCTACTTTGAAATTTCTTCGTTTCTTAGAACACTGCTTCAATCTTGTCAGTGTCGATTTGTGAAAATGAGATAACTTTAGCTCTTTGCGCATTAATGGCTTCGATAACTAAATTCTATCACATGAAAATAACCATTAATACGGCTATATTGTTTGTTGGGCAGAGATCAAGCTTACAAAAATTGCTTTCTAAGTATTCCTATGCTTTGAATAATCAAAGAACGAATCCAAGCGAGTCCTGTTCAATTTCTAGACATTACCAATCATGAAGTATTTGAAAATTTTAAAAGGACCGTAGACATATACAGGTTTCAAGGATAAACTGAGATCGTTGTTTCTGTAACTACGATAATTTTGTCAAGACTAACTTATTTATTAAATAGATAGTAGACATTATTTGTTGTGTTGCCTATTTTTTCTTTATCTTTCTTTGTTATAAGAAAAATACTACATACTTGAGACTATCTATGAAAATCTGTCGTTATTCCATTGCAGCTTTTACTGCAATTCATCTTGATAAAAATAGCAGTTTAACATATTTTGAAAAGAAGAAATCGAAAAGATTTCCCTGCATGTTCAATAAATTAAATTGTATTTACATTTACTAGATTGTTTACGATCATTTGGGCGATTTACTTCGTTGTTTGATAACTCTTGACGAATGCATTCGTGCAAATGCGCAAGTAGCAGAGAAATGTCCTGCGTTTAAAAGGTATAAAAAAAATTTCAATTAAGATTTTGTGTTTTTCTCCAATATCAATAATTTAGAATAATAACATCAATTAAAAATAATGTTGATAAAGTTCAAATTGATCTCTCACGATTACCCTCATTTGAAAAAATTCTTGCTGTACTCGAAGGACAACTTTTAGATGGACGCATTTTTCAAGTAAAATAGACATTTAACTGACTTTTCTATTTAACAACTCTATTTATTTAGAATTGTATTGAACAAATATTTGATACAGCTGTTATCGTGACAAAAAATCCTCTATTACAAGAAGAATTTGCACTCATGATTCGACAACTTTTATCAACTGTTGAACCAAAACTTGGTAAATCAAAATGAAAAAGACTGTTTAATGATCTAAATTCAAATGTTTTTTTTTCTTATTATAGGTGAATTTTATGAGCTTGATGGACGATTAAAATATGTTGGTATTTGTGCACTATTTTGTTTACATTATCAACTTTATCGAGTCGATGATAAACGACAATTCAAAGCAATATGGGATGTTTATAAAAAAGTACAATGAATATTAACGACAAATAAAATACATATTTATTTGGTTTACTATAGATACCAATTGTTCATCTTTGTGGTAATATTAGTTGGACGGCTAGTAGATTTTTAATTGAGAAATATCCTCAATTTACACGACTACTTGATAAAAAAGCTATACAAGCTGTTGAACAACAACGTATAACATATTTACAAAGTAAAGAATCTTCATTAACAAAGTAAGTTTACTATATACACGAAAACAAAAGAAAAATTTTCTTCTGTGCATTTCTAACATTTCTTTTTTTCTATTTATGCATTTTTTTCAGTCATAAGTAAGAGAACTAACAAGCATGTTTCATATTGTTCTAACATTGGAGATTTTCTTTCTTTGTTCTTGCATGGTTGTAGTCTTTGTTTGTCGTTGTTTTATTTTTAAAATGAACCCGAAACAAATTATTTATGTTTTGTATAGAGACTTGCAAAAAAGTTATCTTGATGTTTTATCATGGCTTGTACGTATGGAATCAAATGTTACTACAGATGATAGCAATCAAAATGCTTTACTTAATGATGTGTTAAAAAAGACTTCACTCTTGATGCAAGTAAGTTATTCATTAAAATGAATGACCAGTCAACGTTGTTTTTACTTCAATTTTGAGCGAATTCTCCAAGAGGGAAAAGACGGATTTGGGATTTTCAAAATCCCAAAATCCAAAACGTGAATGATGGAATTTCCATCTGAAATTTTGCCTATATGTAAGTCTCATGATTCTTAGAATATTCTAAAATTTTCATCGCAAACAGACGTTTCCTTCTTAAGATAATGAATGCGCAAGAAATACTCATTTCACGGCACGGTCAGAAAATTCAATATTTTAAGAAGGAAACATTTATTCGAGTTGAAGCTTTTAGGATCTTTTATGGATCATGAAACCTATATATGGGAAGAATTTCAGGTCGAAACTACGTCATTCATAGAGGGGGAAATACTTTTCAATTTATGGGATTTTGGGATTTTCAAAATCCCAAAAATCCGCTTTTCCCCCTTGGAATTCTCACTTCGTAGATTTTCAATACTCGGCATATTTTGTAGATATAGTTTATATTTTCAACTGTATTGTCGCTTTATAATTAGAGTTTGTTAACTCAAATAAAAGAAATCTACAACTTATGATTTATAGTTCTTCTATGTATTAATGAGACATTAATAAATCTACTTGACTTTATCTATCTCTCTTCTTTACTGAATGTTCGTTATGAATGAATATTGATAGGAATCATAAATTTCATTATTTTAATATCCGTAGTGAGATCTTAGCTATTATTGAAAGTTGTGCCCAGACTGAATACTCATTCTAAGCAAACAAGTATTTTTCGAAAGAAAAATTCAATTTATTTATATTTAATTTTTCTCCTAGGGCCTACTTCATGCTTACACATTATCGCATACAGTAAAAACTTTAATCAGCCTTCATTCTACACTTCAATTACCAATAAAATCTGAATGTATGCTTATACTTTATCGTTATACGGAATTATTAAAAGTTATTGAAACAACATATCATCGACATGCAATGGCTATTGCACCGTACTTCAATGCAATTATGCAATATCATTCACAACGTTTATTAAAAATAATTGCCATAGCAAAAGTAAAACATATTTCCGTTCATTTTTCTGATGATTTGATTATCTATCTTTTGCTATTACAGAAACGAATAACTTCAGGAACAGATAAACGATTTACTGATAAACAAGTTGACGTCCTTGCAGCACTCGTTTTAGCTGAATCTTGTTTAAATGGGCCTTGTAAGTTGTACTATTAGGCTTTAGAAGTTTAGACTGCATTTTGTTTGTTTATAGGCACAAAAGAACGTCTATTAATATTTCGATTGGCATTTTCATTTGGTTCTCGATTGGTAAATTCAATTTATTATCTCACACGAAATAGAATTCTTTTTTCTTTGTAGAAAACGTGTCGAGACGATGAAATGATTGCCATCGAAGAAGCTCTTCGAAAAGTTGAAATTTTAGCTTCGTTTTCTGAAAAGTGAATAATAAATATATTATATACTTTTATGATCATTGTTTTTAACATAGACTTCATGCTGCTTGTGATACAACATATCTCTATTGGGAACAGAGTTCATTTCGGTTATATTTACAAGATTTATTTTTAACAGTTCGTGATCCACATCGATTGCATGTAAAATTTATTTATTTATTGATAAGCGCAGAACATATTTGTTGTTTTATTAGTTTATATTTGCTGCTCTTCGCGATTGTGTTTCATCATTACGAGCTATTCGGCATGATAAACCAGAAAAATTAATAAAAACATATAAAAATGAAATTATGAAAATGTTTGATCAGGTTTGAAACGATTCCGAACATGACTCATTTTATTTCATTTCAATTGTAAAACTTCGTAATTTAGTTTTTTCTTCAAGAATTGTTTAAAACAATTGAAGACGACCTTCGATGTTTATGTCATGCGCATCTTGAAGTTGGCGATCGTAGTGTATTTAAACCGAATTTTCGAGATGTTACGCCATTTCTTGATGTTAAACCAATACGATGTTTTGACGAATTTGTTAGCATTAAAGGTTAGAATATACTTTTCCAATTGAGTTCTATTTTTTATTGTATAATAACTTTTATTACAGGAGCTATAGAAAGTTATTTGGATAAAATTTTTTATGATTATACAACAGCTTCGTCAACAGACTGGAACACGTATTCAGAAATGCGTAATTTAGCATCACAAAAATATGGTTTGGATTTACATGAACCACACTTACCTAGTAAAACACTTGAGCAGGTAGTTTATTAACTTTTCAAGTATATTTTGAGGATAAGTAAAGAATGAAGTGAAATAATTTAATTCGGCCATCTCGCAAAGTAATAAATTATTTTTGTAAATGAGTCTCATTTCAACGCTAGTCTCACAATGGAATCATAGCTATGATATGTTGATAGACTCGAATAGTAATCACTTACGTTATTTGAATGAGCTTTCATCAGCTGAAGTTTATATAAGCCAATTTTCTATCCCTATCTCTCCATAACACGAAGTTATTATTCACCAGTATCTACATCTATTCTTTCTATAAGTGACCGTTATAGAAAAATAGATTTTATGATATCCAACCACCGTTTAGAAAGTGTCGTACTGCGGTTTTAAACTTACATTTATGTAAGAAGTGATCATAAATAAGCGTCGATTGAAAACATTAACCAAACTTCGCCTGAAATGCAGATGAACTGGAATGTTTTCTCACAAATGTCTAGTGAAAGTCTCTATGATAATAGTAGTAATAGTATATTTTAGTGAATGATGTGGAAAAGCTGCATAATTTCACTCTACCCAGACGTACCGATAAGATTCAATTAATAGCTTAGACTAGTGGCAAACATTTTCATCCAATACAATGGCAGCAGCAAAATTCAAGATAGGCTTCGATAGTAATGCCTCTGTTGTAGCTAGATCATATTTTTCGCATGAGTATAGAATGATTGAAGTGTTGCAATCTTTGAAGGATTCTTATTTTTATTTCCATGTGATTCAGATATGAATGTTTCAATAACATCTGAGTTGACAGCACGAGATTTTGCTTGTTTTTGACAATTTTCTATCTAACTAACACAACTAAAGCTAATAAAAAGAAATATTTTACGACAAAATATTGAATACCAATGGAAGCATTCATAATTTAATTCATCAAGTAAAATATGATCTATTGTATTTCTATCTAGGGTTTTGATGTTCTCGATATTCTCCGTAATTTAAATGCATTTGTTTCACAACATTATTATAATATAAATACTCAAATGTTTATTGAACGATCAAGCAATAATAAATTTCTACGCACAACAAATATTCGACATGTAGCTAATTCAATTCGTACACATGGTATTGGTATCATGAATACAGCGGTAAGATTTAATCTTTTTTTTTTCTTGAAGATTATCGTTTCATTTTTCTTGTTGTTAAAAGGTTAATTTTACATATCAATATCTTCGACAAAAGTTTTATATGTTTTCACAATTTTTATTTGATGAACACATAAAAAGTCGTTTAATGAAAGATATTAAATATTTTAAAGAAAATAAAGATCGACTCAATCAACGAGTAAATTTTAATCGTCTAATTATTGTTTCTCTATTTCAACTTCTATAATTTTAGTATCCATTTGAACGAGCAAAAAAATTCTTTATCAGTATAAGAAAATTAGGTGTTACACCTGATACAAATGAAACTTATCTTGATCAATTTCGACAATTAATTGGACAAATCGGTAGGAAAAATGAATAACACAATACTATAAAATATTTTTAATTTCCTATTTGATGAAAGGCAATGCAATGGGTTACGTTCGAATGATTCGTTCTGGTGGTCTTAACACTTGTTCAAGTTCTATACGATTTGTACCGGATTTTGAAAATCTAATTTCATTTGAAGATCATACAAGAAACTCAAATTTACCTTCTGAAACAATAAGCGCCGCAAAGTAAAATTCTTTTGTTCATCTTTAAAATAATGACATTAATAATTTTATTTAGACATTTAGATGATGTTATATCAAATTTAGTAAAAAATTTTACTGAAGGTACCGAATATTTTAAGATTCTCGTGGATGTTTTCTCCAATGAATTTCGCGGAAAGAAAAATTTACATTTAAAACATTTCTATGTTATTGTACCGCCACTGGTATGTAAAATAGAATCGATGTAAGAATTACAATTTGAAAATATTCGATTATTTATAGACACTCAGCTTTGTTGAACATATTAAAGTATTAAAAGATAATTTAACGAAAAAATCAAAAGTTAATGCATCATTTACTGACGATGGATTTGTCATGGGTAAACAAACGTGTTTTGACGTAAAAGATTTTTATTGAATCGATTTAGGCGTTGCTTATATATTAAAATTACTTGATCAATATCGTGATTTTGATTCTCTACATTGGGCGGATGCTGTTAAAGAATCATTTAACACAGAAAAAGTAAGCATATATATAACGTTATATAAGATGTAGACAAATAAACATTGTATTGTTCTTTCTCTTTCACAATAACAGTTAGAATGAATCAAATAGATTTTTTCATCAGTTGAAATAGTTTTTATCATTAAAAATTGCTTGACAAAGTTGCATTAATATGTATGCGCATGAAACATCTCTGTAAAACTAAGGGTTTCCGAAAAGCAAAAACAATTTTTTAAAGTTTCTACGAAAGTCTAAAAAAGAAAGGATTTACGAACAGAATGTGAGTTCTGAAATTCTTCATGATAATTGTACGATAGATCAAATTAAAGGACTACTACTTGTTCTTGTATACATGGATTTATTGTTTTTGCAATTGGAAACTTTTCATGGAATGTACACATTTGGATGACGACAAACGCGAGAAAGGCCTAATTTGTTCAAAACTCTATTAGACTTTGATAGAAATATGAAAAGTTACTTTGGAGCTTTTGCACGTTCCAAGTATCATTCATTAAAATATGTTAAGAAATATTTTATTTGCATTTTATTTTTATAGAATGATGTGATCAATAAATCGCGAAATAGTAGTGAAGAAAATGTGAAAAAAGCTTTAAATGCTTCGATGAAACGAATTGAAAATGATCAATTGGTTTGTAGAAATATTAAACAACAATAAAAAAAAATAAACTTTTCTTGTTTGATTTCGTTTATTTTTCAGGAATTTGATTTACTCAATTTTAGCTTACGCTCCGCTAGGATATTTTTTCGTGCTGATAAAACAGCTGAAGAAGATAAACGTATGTTATTAACGCAAAAAAATTAGCTCGTCTTTCAATGCTCATGCTCTTTATTGCTCTCAATAAACTCGTATTTCTATCTATTTCGTATGTAAACCAGGTAAGAAATGATTTTAAAAAAATAAATTTGCATTTTTTTTTATCTTTTGCTATTTAAAAAGTTATGTCTATATTAAATTTTTAGAATCATCTGTGGCTGAAGCAGAAACACGAACAGAAACAGTGCCTACTTCAACCGATGTACCCTCGACTACCGGAACTACTGCAGCAGCACCTCCGCCACCACCACCACCGCCGCCGCCGCCGCCGCCACCACCAATGTCCGGTGGAATTCCTCCACCTCCACCACCACCTCCTCCACCATTCTTTGCTAACAATTGAAAGTTCTTCTTATAGGACATTAACATTCCTTCTCTTCCTCTTTTGATAAATGCTAATTAACCGGTGATTCAAACAGAGCTTACACCTATTCATGATTCATCTTAATGTAATTCTTAGTGTAAAATTTGTCACATGTGTCTTTTTTAAATTTATATGATCACTTTTTCCAATATATTGCATTTCATTCTTACATTTCTAGAAGAATCTCATTTCTTACACAACAATGAAGCTTGTTGTTTATATAATTACGATTGTAAGCTCTTTTGTAGGTCTATTGTATATGTATATATTGAGTTATTTTATAGATAAGCCTGGGTCCCGTACCAATTATGAGTACTGATGTTTGTATTCAAGAATGTACATGTTTAAAAAAGTTCACCACTGTAAATTGTGATTCAAAAGGCTGGAAAAATTTAATCGACGCAGAATTTCCAGCGAGCGTTGTTATTTTAACACTTAATAGTAATAACTTGAAATTTGATACAAGTAAATCTTAAGAAGTGATTACTTTTGAATTAAAATATTTCTATATAATTATAGTTGATGATCGTTCTAAAATTGAGCACTTAACAAAGTTACTAGATTTGAGTCTTAACGGAAACCCACTTGATATAATTCCGGCATTTAATAATTCAAAAATCACATCACTTTCATTACAAGATACATCGTTGACATCAGCTGAATTTCCATCATCTTATACAGGTTCTCTTTTACACACCATATCCCTTAGTCATAATAAAATTAATGTCATTACTGAAAATGATTTTCTTCCTTTGAAAAATTCTCAAGTAGCAAAATTACGTATAGATCATGCGCATCTTTTAAAAATTCATCAAAATGCATTTATTCCGTTAGTGGAACTTCAATCATTATCATTACAACAAAATGAATTAAAATCATGTGAATTCCTATCAACATTCAGCTTACTTTCATCGGTTAATCTTGATGGAAATCAGTTTACTTCACTGCCACAACAATTGACAACACCTGGCCATATAAAAGAATTCTTTTTTAGACAAAATTTGATATCAGTTATTGATGATTCATCACCATTATATTCATGGCTAAAAATGAATTATACGAATATAAAAATTTATTTAGCTAATAACTCATTCGATTGTTGCCGATCATTGTGGTTTATTCGTTTTTTAACTTCATCTTCCCATTCTGTTGGAGACGCTCCTTTGTTAAGATGTGCGACGCCAGCAGCTTATGCAGGAAGGAATTTGACAACACTCAACCCAGATGATATGAATTGCAGTGGAATTTCACCAAAGAAAACATGGTGGACAACTGTTCGAATTATTGGTATAACCATTGGAGGAATTGCTACTGTCTTAGTTTCGGCGATTGTTGTAATAGTAACGATTCGTCTTGTAAAATTACGTTCAGGTTACACAGAAATCGATGGAGATGGCGGCTCATTGCCGAGTGCTCCATTGTTGGCATCATCTCATGATTTTCCATTTCCACAACACGGTGAAGACGATGATTCTATTTCCACGTATTCAACTGCACACTCAAGAAATACGTATGGATCACATATGACAACAGCTAGTACTGCTGCTGGCATTTCAGTAAATGATGGAGACCAAATCTGAAAGTTCTTCTCATGCACAATCTTTTATTTTCGAGTTCTTTTTCTAATCAGACTAACCGGTGTTTTGTTTTCGTTATTATAGTTTCTTCCTATCTAATCTCAGTACAAATTTTTTTCTAGTGACACAAACATAATTTACCGTGATCGATTTTTAACAAGCAATTTCGAATTCAATTTTTCGTAAAAATAAAATTTAACATTACTAGGAAACACAATTTTATTATTCTGATTAATTAATTTAATTCATAATCATTTTTGAAACATATATGAACTGTAAACTTGAGATAATATTAATAAACTATTTTTAAATCAATGGTATTACAATTGAAAATATTCTTATCCAAGATGTTTCAGAAAAGTTTTCATATAGACACTTATACTTGTATATGTTATTATCAAATTGAAGAAACAATACTGAATGTGGATGTAAGATTAACTGAGTATAAAAAGAAAGTTCTCGAATTGATTGATTATTTTTAAGGTGAGCGCCATGCTGATTCTGAGGAACACAACGAAATCTGCTTTTTAATTTTTAATTTCAAAATTTACATCAAGAGAGCTCTTAATTAAAAATCAAACTAACTATTCTCGTTGAGACGTACGTTCGCAAAATTCAACAAAAGACTTGAATTCTTTCCTGTTCATTCATCTCTCATTAGAGTTCTCTTCATGTACATGGCCTCGATTTAGCAGTAAATAATCACTCGGAAAATTTTCCCTGTAAGCATAAATCCTTATTCGTCTCTACTTTCACTCTATTTTGATGCAGTCAAACTACCATATATAGATACTCACCGTATATGAAAAAGACGACTCGATGTAGAATCTTACTGTTTTAGATGACAAAAATAAATAATTATTTAAGAAAAAACGGAAAGAAACATGCATAATTGTATCTGTCATTTCTATTTATTTAAATTTTGTGGATTAAATATAAAAAAAAAGCAAGAAAGCATTTATTGATTTTATCGTAAACACTAATATGTTATTGAACACGAAGTAAGATGTCTTCGTCCGGTGAAATAACAGCTGTCACAGGTGGTTGAATAGTTTTCTTACTCGTAGATTTTGAATTACCTTCGTCGTCTTCTTGTTCTTCATCATCTTCTTCGGTACTTTCGGTGTCACTTTTTAAAACTTGATTTGCTGATAACTCACCATCAGAACATGTGGAAACAATTCGTCTTAAACTATTTGTTGCTGGTAGAAATAAAATATTTTTATTTTTGTTATTTAAATTTGTATATGATTTTGATTGATTTAATTCTAATGTGTCATTTAAAGAAATGATTCGATCCATAATATGAAGATTAACTTCACTGCTCGAACGTCTATGTACACGTCGAGAATGACTAAGATTTTGAAGTGAGAGTAATCTTTTTTCTAATTGTTTTTGTTCGAATGCTAATAATTGAACATTACTAACTGATTTTTGTCGTTCAATTTCAAGAGCTCGTTGTTCAGCTACAATAAGACGATCTTTAGCTATTGTACGTTTAGTACGTGTATTCAAAAATCCATTGTGAGAGACAACAGTACGATGTGATGCACGAAAAAACTATCATAAATGAAAAATAATTAAGCAAATCTTCAGATTAATCTTACTTTAATTGAAAAATTATCTTTTGAATTTGACATTTTGAATGCGTATGTCAAAGTTTTTCAGTCGGTAAATATTAATCGTTCGTATGGTAAGAATATAATCATATGTTTCTTCTTTCTTTCTTTTTTATGTCGTCGTTTGATCGCTAAAGAAAAACTAATAATTTTCTTTTTTTTTCCGAAAGTGAGAATATTTGTGTGGTACAGTACAAATATAAATTTCTCTCACTTAAACATTGTATCATGAAACTTCTCCATCAAACTCTACTGATAAATGTATTGCCATGCAACATAGTAACTCTTTAGTTCACACGATTGATTAATTGAGTTGCAGGAGAAAAAATAGATTGATAAATAGAAAAGAAGAAATTATAGCCAACAATCATTTGAATTTATTAAGAAATCAACGTATGAGATATCTTTAAATAATAAGTATAATTTGTGCTTAGTGTTCATCAACATTTTATTTTCATATGATAAGTGAAATACGAATGGCGATATGATTATGATGTATACATGTGGATATTCAACTAATGAGAAGCCGAATATTATTTTATTTGAATTATTGAATTTAACAAACACGTATTATTTTGCGAAGCAAAACTAAAGATACGAAGTGTGCGTTCTTTGTATTTTAACTTCCAATTGNAGGATGAAAACTGCTAAATAAACAGGCGTGTACGAAACTGCAAAATATTTCTAGAAATTGAAATTCCGTCGCTTCCTAATTGCGACCGAAAAATAAGCCAATTAAGAAAAAAGTGGTCGCAATTCGGAATGAATAATTTTACGCTGATTTCATTTTCTATTCGATTCCAAATTGCGACCACTTTTTAAATTGTCAATCAGTCAACGCTATATTAATTGAAAAAATATTATTGAAAAAATGAGTACAGAAAAAAAATTATTCTTCATCACTACTATCTTTCGTATCTTTTATGATGTAGATATAGCGATGAGAAATACCACGCAAAACTTTTTGAACATTTTCTGACAATTTCAGTTCATGATTATGGTTTTCATCATTTTATTTTATTTATTACATTATTTTTCAACGCTCTAGAACGAGAGCATCATTTATTAGCGCAGATATAAATTGATACATTGTTCTTATTTTCTCGCTTTAAATGAAATAAATAGTTATTGTATAGAAGAGCCTTTTCACCTTTTTCGGTTGTTGACCAAACAAATTTCGTATTCATTGCATGATATTCACTAGCAATCTTTTTTTTAAAGCTTATATATGAACATTATTATGACAGTACAACTCATCATCATATGCATCGATAACTAATCAATCAAAAGTGGTCGCAATTCGGAATCGCATAAAAAATGAAATCAACGTAAAATTATTCATTCCTAATTGCGACCACTTTTTTCTTGATTGGCTTAATTTTCGGTCGCAATTCGTACCTAGCCTGAAATTCTACATGTAATCAATAGGGAACTTGTATGGCATGGGTTCTTTTTGAATAGGAAATAAAAAATCAATTGAATTGTAACAAAGAAAAAAAATCAAATATCATGCAATATGTCAATGTAGAATGAACAAACGAATAAAGACAATCATGCAATATTCAATGATGGTTCCACTCCATGATATACCTAGTGGGTTCAGTTCATTATAAGCAAATACTCATAGACATAAATGAATTGTTTGGATTTAGAAGAGATGTATAGTTTAGCATAGAAATGTGTGTTACTTGAAAGATTATCTAACCAAATGCTTTCTAGCCGTTTAGTTTGCTTTCTACGATGATATTATCGGCAAGCAATGCGTTTATAATTTGAGTAAAATTTAAAAACAAATCATTTCTCTACGTCAAAAAAGCATCGAGAAAACAAATGTCAAATGTTCTTTAAGTTTATATTTTGTTTTTTTCCCATTTCAATCTAAGTACATTGTATGTTATACTATAGAATAAAAAAAAAGTCTTGATCTATTTTTGATCGAACTGACAATATGCAACACTGCATAAATAGATGAAATCAGCACGTGCTTTATAAGTTGTTTGTTTTTGTTTTTCAGCACCCATATGTCGATGAATAATACATGCACTGATATTCTACTTTCATCAGCATATTCTAGATATATTATCCTTTTAAGTTTATAATTATATTTTTTCGTTAAAATATTCAAGGAAAACTATATCAACATTACGATTTCTTTCCCTTTATAATTTAACATACGAAAGAACTTAAATAGATATATTTCCGATTTCGATATTTTGTCACTCATAAATTCTTGTTCCTATTCTAGTGGTCTTATATTATTATTTATTTTACTTATAAAACGACATCTATATTTTAAAGTCCCCATAGCGTCAAGATACAAAATACTCGAACGCAAAACATAAAATCTCCAGACATTTGATAGCAAGGCACACTAAAAATCTGATAGCTCGGTGAAGTCTAAATAGGAATTGGAATCATTTTAAGGATTTTTGCTAGTATATTGGGTATCCGTACCTATGAACAAAAAAGCCGTTGGTATAACAAGGGACTATCTAGATAGATTCTCATTCCAAAAAATCGAACCAACAAATTGTTATCACATTGTACTTGTTTTCCTCATGAATTGAACTTTGTCAATGAGTAAAGTAAATATTGAAGAAATCATATTTTTACTTCATAACCATAAGTATATATATATATATATATATTTGAATATGCTTAATGCAATTTCGATGTGTGCACAAAAACAATTTTTCATCTCATACACATATGGGATAGACAAGAAAGAAAAAAATATTTTTAACCTATCACATTTAGTATTCAAAAATATGAAATTCGCTCAATTGCAAATATTCTCATCAAACAACATCGAGAACAAATAAAAGAGGGAGGGGGGGTGATTTTTATAGTTTTTGTGTACTAAAAGAGTGAGTACACTACTGAAATCGGTCAGTGTGTTCGCCCGTCCGACCGTCCGTTGACTCGATAGCTCTTCACAATTACATTCGATTGAGCTGAAATTTTGTGCGCAGATTTGTCTCATCGATATCTAGGTCGAGTTCGAAGATGGGAAGGATCCGCCAAGAAATGGTTGAGTTATCGAAAAATTGTCATTTTCGATCAGATCATCGCTGAGGGGGAATACAGGGATTTTTTCAAACAAAATACTTTTTTCTCAGAATTATCCACAACATATATAAATCGACTCAGTTTTTAACGCTGATTCCGCATCTGATTTTAGTTTTGAACTAAACCGTAGCTTTCTAACGAAACATCGCCTGAAAAACGTCTCAAAATGCACAAAACCTCCATCTAGAAATCAAATTGCCTAGTTTCTCATGATAATTTTGGTGTTCAGACTTTCTAGAATGACTCATATGCCCCATGTACTTTTTGCAGTACACATAACTCACGGATGAAATCCGAGGTTTCCACATTTATTCTCTTAATATTAATGTTATCATTCTGTTTTCTTTTCGATCAAGTCTAAAGAACAACCAAATGGCAAGAGTAACAAACAGCAGCTATTCATTAAATAGAAAGCATGGACTAACGAAAGAAGAGAAGAAAGGAAAAATATCTAGCGACAATAAGTTATTTTTGTATTTGCATTTGCAGTGTAGTGCACTGTCAATCGGCACATGGAAAGAAACAGAAATAAAAGCGAACGCAAAAGAAGGAAAAATATCCGCAGTCATGGCCAAATTTTTTGTTTTGACATTGCATCATATCGAATCTATTTATTGAAAATATATTGGCCAGAGTTGTTTTGCAATTGCGTCAGGTCAAATTTACGTGAGAGAAGCGTATTGGTCGATGTATGTATCATTTTCTACTTTCATTTCAGAGTTATATTAAACAATGGCGTTAGATTTTGGTTTTGGTTTTGTTGCTGGAGTAACCGGTACAATTGCTGGTTATCCATTTGATACAGTTAAAGTTCGTCTACAAACACAAACACTAAATCATAGATTATATTCGGGTTCATTAGATTGTTTTATTAAAATAGCAAAACAAGAATCAATATTAGGCTTTTACAAAGGCATGACATCGCCAATGTTTGGTGTTGCAATTATTAATGGAATTGTTTTTTCTATACAAAATACTTCAAAAGGATTATTTGACAACCCAGATACATATTTTTCATTAGCAGTAACGGGTGCTATTGCTGGTTGTGTACAATCATTTATTTGTTCACCAATTGAACTTGTTAAAACACGCTTACAAATGCAAGGCATTGGACAACAAAGAAAACTGTTTGCATTATCAACACATCTATATAAAGGCCCTATTGATTGTATGAAAAAATCTTATACTCGACAAGGTTTTCGATATGGTGTACTGCGTGGCTTATCAATGACACTTGCGCGTGATATTCCATCGTTTGCTGCTTATTTTCCAGCATGGCAATTCTTTGTTTCACATTTTTCACCAACAGGTAAAGAAGCTGACATGCCTATGTATATGAGTTTAATAGGAGGCGCCTTTACGGGTATTGCTGCTTGGACTGTATCGTACCCATTTGATGTTATTAAAAGTCGATATCAAGCAGCAAGAGATCATGCATATAAAAATGTATGGGATTGTGCAGTTAAATCATTTCGTATGGAAGGATGGCAAGTATTTACTCGAGGATTTTTGCCATGTACACTTCGTGCTATTCCAACAAATGCATTTACTTATCCTGTGTATTCCTTTTTAAAACGAACATTTGATACACCACTCGATGATAATGATGAAACGTTGGTAACAACAAAAATTGTTACTACATCAAAACCGATGTCTTCCACTACAACGTCAACTCCAGCGATTGCTTCGATTTAACCAATCTAATTTAAATTTCTTCTTTATTGTTGATTCGAATTACAAAAAATATCGATGCAACTCAGATGGAGATTTATTTTTTGTTTCTTCACATAGACCTGTTGATTATATTTGACAGTCGCCGATGACATCACTGTTGGTTTTTATTTTTTTGTATTAATTCATTGTTATTAGTATATAATTGATAATATGATAGGTCGAATTAGATCGTTGAAATGTAGTAAAATTAGCAAAACTATTCTTGCATGAATGTTTGA